GAGATGTTTTACACAGGGTGTGGGAGATGTTTTACACAGGGTGTGGGAGATGTTTTACACAGGATGTGGGAGATGTTTTACACAGGGTGTGGGTGATGTTTTGCACAGGATGTGGGAGATGTTTTACACAGGGTGTGGGAGGAAAATTGGGGTTTTACACAGGGTGTGGGATGTTTTACTCAGGGTGTGGGAGATGTTTTACACAGGGTGTTTGGTGATGTTTTACACAGGGTGTGGGAGATGTTTTACACAGGGTGTTTGGTGATGTTTTACACAGGGTGTAGGAGATGTTTTACACAGGGTGTGGGAGATGTTTTACACATGGTGTTTGGTGATGTTTTACACAGGGTGTAGGAGATGTTTTACACAGGGTGTAGGAGATGTTTTACACAGGGTGTTTGGTGATGTTTTACACAGGGTGTGGGAGATGTTTTACACAGGGTGTTAGGAGATGTTTTACACAGGGTGTTTGGTGATGTTTTACACAGGGTGTGGGAGATGTTTTACACAGGGTGTTTGGTGATGTTTTACACAGGGTGTTTGGTGATGTTTTACACAGGGTGTAGGAGATGTTTTACACAGGATGTTTGGTGATGTTTTACACAGGGTGTGGGAGATGTTTTACACAGGTTGTAGGAGATGTTTTACACAGGGTGTAGGAGATGTTTTACACAGGGTGTAGGAGATGTTTTACACAGGGTGTGGGAGATGTTTTACACAGGGTGTGGGAGATGTTTTACACAGGGTGTGGGTGATGTTTTACACAGGGTGTGGGAGATGTTTTACACAGGGTGTGGGTGATGTTTTACACAGGGTGTGGGAGATGTTTTACACAGGGTGTGTGAGATGTTTTACACAGGGTGTAGGAGATGTTTTACACAGGGTGTGGGAGATGTTTTACACAGGGTGTGGGTGATGTTTTACACAGGGTGTGGGAGATGTTTTACACAGGGTGTAGGTGATGTTTTACACAGGGTGTGGGAGAAGTGTGTTTTACACAGGGTGTAGGATGTTTTACACAGGGTGTAGAGATGTTTTACACAGGGTGTAGGAGATGTTTTACACAGGGTGTAGGTGATGTTTTACACAGGGTGCAGGAGATGTTTTACACAGGGTGTAGGTGTTTTACACAGGGTGTAGGAGATGTTTTACACAGGGTGTAGGAGATGTTTTACACAGGGTGTAGGAGATGTTTTACACAGGGTGTAGGAGATGCTTTACACAGGGTGCAGGAGATGTTTTACACAGGGTGTGGGAGATGCTTTACATAGGGTGTAGGAGATCATTTCACGTTATCCATTACAATCGATCATAGTTCTCTTCACAACTTCTTAATCAACACGGTCCTTGGACCGTCATAACCCTTCAACCATTCAATGCAGTCCTTGGACCGTCATAACCCTTTAACCTATCAACATCAGTCCTTGGACCGTCATAACCCTTTAACCTATCAACATCGGTCCTTGGACCGTCATAACCCTTTAACCTATCAACATCGGTCCTTGGACCGTCAAGACCCTTCAACCAATCAACACGGTCCTTGAACCGTCATAACCCTTCAACCAATCAACACGGTCCTTGGACCGTTATAATCCTTCAACGTATCGACACTGTCCTTGAACCGTCACAACCCTTCAACCTATCAACACGGTCCTTAGACCGTTAATGTCTTTCAACCAATCAACACGATCCTTGGACCGTCATAACCCTTCAACCAATCAACACGGTCCTTGGACCGTCATAACCCTTCAACCTATCAACACGGTCCTTGGACCGTTAATGTCTTTCAACCAATCAACACGATCCTTGGACCGTCATAACCCTTCAACCAATCAACACGGTCCTTGGACCGTTAATGTCTTTCAACCAATCAACACGATCCTTGGACCGTCATAACCCTTCAACCAATCAACACGGTCCTTGGACCGTTAATGTCTTTCAACCAATCAACACGGTCCTTGGACCGTTAATGTCTTTCAACCAATCAACACGGTCCTTGGACCGTCATAACCCTTCAACCAATCAACACGGTCCTTGGACCGTCATAACCCTTCAACCAATCAACACGGTCCTTGGACCGTCATAACCCTTCAACCAATCAACACGGTCCTTGGACCGTCATAACCCTTCAACCTATCAACACGGTCCTTGGACCGTCATAACCCTTCAACCTATCAACACGGTCCTTGGACCGTCATAACCCTTCAACCAATCAACACGGTCCTTGGGCCTCATAACTTTTCAACCCATTAACACCCTTTCTCGTGTATAAATTACCAAATTTAAAAAGAAAAACTTTTTTCTTTAGGTAGGCGCTGTGTAACCCTTGTAGGTTTAACGCTTATTTTTTATTATAATTTTCTTTAGGTCATCCTCCCCTGGTGGGATACGGCCGGTTCATGGTAAAAAAAAAAAACATTGATTTAACCTAATTATTATTATTATAATCAAAAAGAATGATTTAACCTAAGATAACCAAATAAAGTCAAACACTGTGACTTACGTCTGATCAGCTCACACTTTGTAACCTATGTCCCCCGGGTTTAGCGCTTCCCCCTTGATTATAATAATAATTTGTAACCTATGCAAAGAAGTAAAATTGTTTATTGTTTAAGTATTTCATAAAAATCAAGGACTGTATTCCATTGTACTTCTCTGTATCATGTTCAGATAAATAAATAAATGAATAAATTATTATTAAAATAATAAATTATCGCTAAACCCATATGGGTTATACAGAACAGAATTAGATTAATAAATCTATCACATTGAAACTTACACAACCTAACATCAAAGCTTCCTTCCAGGGAAACACAGCTATAAATGTGTAAAGTTGACCACAAGATGCATTTTGCAGTGAAAACTTGCATGTATATTAAATAAAAATTAATACTTTGATATTAAATTCTTTTATACCTGGTTATTAAATTTTTAATACCTGGGTTTTAAATTTTTAATACCTGGGTATTAATTTTTTTAATACCTGAGTATGCCCCTCAAGGGAGGGTCCTTGATGCTGATGAGGGCTCTTGATCTAGGGAATTGGATCTGTGCTCCAGTTCCCTGAATTAAGACTGAATACCTCCCACATTATCCATAGAGGCAAAGAAGGGAATGTACAATGGTGGTACTAACATTCTTATATGGGTGTGAAGCTTGGGCTGCAAATGCTGCTGCAAGGAGGCAGCTGGAGGCGGTGGAGATGTCCTGTCTAAGAGCAATGTGTAGTGTAAATATTATGCAGAGAATTTGGAATGTGGAAATTAGGAGGTGTGGAGTTACCAAAAGTATTATTCAGAGGGCTGAAGAGAGGTTGTTGAGGTGGTTTGGTCATGTAGAGAGAATGGATCAAAGTAGAATTACTTGGAGAACGTATAAATCTGTAGGGGAAGGAAGGCGGGGTAGGGGTCGTCCTCGAAAAGCTTGGAGGGAGGGGGTAAAGGAGGTTTTGTGGGCGAGGGGCTTGGATTTCCAGCAAGCGTGCGTGAGCGTATAAATCTGTAGGGGAAGGAAGGCGGGGTATGGGTCATCCTCGAAAAGGTTGGAAGGAAGGGGTAAGGGAGGTTTTGTGGACGAGGGGCTTGGACTTCCAGCAGGCGTGCATGAGCGTGTTCGAAAGGAGTGAATGGAGATGAATGGTACTTGGGACCTGACGATCTGTTGGAGTGTGAGCAGGGTAATATTTAGTGAAGGGATTCAGGGAAACCGGTTATTTTCATATAGTCGGACTTGAGTCCTGGAAATGGGAAGTACAATGCCTGCACTTTAAAGGAGGGGTTTGGGATATTGGCAGTTTGGAGGGATATGTTGTGTATCTTTATACGTATATGCTTCTAAACTGTTGTATTCTGAGCACCTCTGTAAAAACAGTGATTATGTGTGAGGTGAAAGTGTTGAATGATGATGAAAGTATTTTCTTTTTGGGTCACCCGGCCTTGGTGGGAGATGGCTGACTTGTTAAAAAAAAAAAAAAAGTGTGAGTGTGTTAGATAGGAGTGAATGGAGACAAATGGCTTTTGGGATCTGATGGGCTGTTGGAATGTGAGCAGGTTAATATTTTGTGAAGGGATTCAGGGAAACTGGTTAGCCAGATTTGAGTCCTGGAAACAGGAAGTACAATGCCTGCACTTTAAATGAGGGGTTTGAGATATTGGCAGTTTGGAGGGACTTCTAAGCTGTCGTATCTGAGCGCCTCTTCAAAGACAGTGATTATGTACAAGTGAGATGAAAGTGTTGAATGATGAAAGTATTTTTCTTTTTGGGGATTTTCTTTCTTTTGGGGTCACCCTGCCTCGGTGGGAGACGACCGACATGTTTAAAAAAAAAAAAACTTCCACGTCTTCCCCAGAGGCGCTGTATAATCCTATGGGTTTAGCGCTTTCCCCCTTGATTATAATAATAATAATAATAATAATAATAATAATAATAATAATAAAATAGCCGGACTTGAGTCCTGGAAATGGGAAGTACAATGCCTGCACTTTAAAGGAGGGGTTTGGGATATTGGCAGTTTGGAGGGATATGTTGTGTATCTTTATATGTGTATGCTTCTAAACTGTTGTATTCTGAGCACCTCTGCAAAAACAGTGATTATGTGTGAGTGAGGTGAAAGTGTTGAATGATGATGAAAGTATTTTCTTTTTGGGGATTTTCTTTCTTTTTGGGTCACCCTGCCTTGGTGGGAGACAGCTGACTTGTTAAAAAAAAAATAATAATAATAATACCTGAGTATTAACAAATTTAATACCTGGGTATTAATCTTTTTCTGGTAATGACTTGATAAAGCTCTACACATAGCAAGTTTTTATCCCAGTAAATGTTTTATAAGTTGTGTCTTTGTTTCAAGCTTGTCAAGAACAACAACAACATAATGTGTCATTCAAAAAGTAACTGGATGTCTTACTGAACCTCTGAGCTGCACTCAAAGAAAATATTTTATGATATCACAGTACATAAAACTAACAGTAGCCATGAATTGGACTGGAAAAGAAAATCACAGAAAATGCCATTTCTTTATTTTAAAATTATAATATTTATACTCTTTATACAGTAATTAAAAATAATGAATATCACAAATATTTCATTAATTAAAAATAGTACTGCACATCATGTACAGTACTGTACTTAGCAATGGGACGGATATTTATCCAAGCATACTCTTCTTCATCTTCACAGTAGAAATATAGGAAAATAAGTTATAAGGATGAGAAGAGCGTATAAAGCGCTAAACACTGCCATATATGGAAGAGGCAGATACATCTCTTAAATATTGTTCATCAAATTCAGTGCATGAAGGAAGATAAATTTTTAATAAATGTGGGGTAATAAGGTAATCTTGACCACAGACAAATTCACCAGGTATCTAACACAAAATAATACAGCCTCTCCTCACTCAACGACGGAGTTCCGTTCCTAAGACTACATTGGTAAACGAATTTGTCGATAAGTGAGGAGCATACTATGATGGTAGTGAGTTGTGTCAGCCATCTTTGATACTGTTTTAATGTCACTTTTGCACCACTTATAACATTTCTGGTATATTTTTATATGTTTATACAGTAGTGTACTGTATACTGTAATAAATAGAATAGAGGAAATCAGCTTTAATATACATTATTTAGGTATGCATACTGGTCAGAGAGCCTGTCTTAAGTCCAAGTTGTTGGTAAACGAGTTTGTCACCAAGTGAGGAGAGGCTATAACAAGTTCAAGAATTACAAAATCTATCAGTAAGTCATATGTTGGCCTTAAATTCTGCACAGTGGAAGCAGATGTAACCTTATCAATCATATGAATATACAGTGGACCCCTGCATAATGATCACCTCCGAATGCGACCAATTATGTAAGTGTATTTATGTAAGTGCTTTTGTGCGTGTATGTTTGGGGGTCTGAAATGGACTAATCTACTTTACAATATTCCTTATGGGAACAAATTCGGTCAGTACTGGCACCTGAACATACTTCTGGAGTGAAAAAATATCGTTAACCGGGGGTCCATTGTACAGTGGAACCTTGGTACTCAAACAGCGATGACCTGCCAGAACTTCGCTGTAAACTATTTCGTGTTTCGCATTTTTTGTATAAGTCACCATGGGGCCTACGAAGATTAGTGATAACAGCCAACCAAAAAGAAAATTGGTTGGGAACAATTCATTCAATACTTGAACAGATCGGCACTCGAATGACCTTCTGTAATGAATTAAGTTCGAATACCGAGGTTCCACTGTATACAAATACAGATACTCTGGCCATCAACACTACATGGGAAGAACACAATGATGTAGTATATGGATACACATACACAAATAACATAGATGGAATGAAAGATTTACTGTACTATTTGAAGTTCACATAATTAAGTCACTAAAAGTGATGAAAAACCAATATCAACACAGTCTTGGAACAATTATATAGTAAGTTTTTCATGATACAACAGTTAATTTATATCAGGGGTCCTTAACTAGGGGTTTCTACACTCCTTGGGGATCTTCTTTTCTTTCTTTCAACACATCAGCCATTTCCCAGGGTGGCCCAAAAGGAAAAACGAAAGTTTCTCCTTTTACATTTACTAGTAATATTTACAGGAGAAGGGATTACTCCTTGGGGATATAGAAACCAAATAATAGGAGTATGGGACTTGATCTCTGAACAATTTAATACAAAATTTGTTGTTAGATTATAATAAACTATCAGTTATTCTGATGCTAGCTATCCATATGTTAATTAAAACCAAGCTAATGACATATTGTGAAATCATACCGAGACCTAATAGTACTAGTGATGATTTCAATAGTGACAAAGAGGGTATAGGGAAATACTGGGCAATCCACTGGGCATCTGCAGTGGCAGCTCGTCCATAGAAGCTGCAGAGCTGCAGCCCTCCCGGATGCTCACTGCCAAACATGTGACTTCATCAACCTTACAATAAAATAATTTGCAACTGACAAATGTATTACAGGAAAAAATCTGTTGTATGTTGTTTTCAATGCATTTATAAGTGAATTTTTTCTTTTTTTGTTGAAATGAGATAAAAATGATTAAAAATAGAAGTTTGATGCGGTACAATAGTACATGTACAGGTATTACTGGCACTACGAGCCACCATTGGGCATCTGTAATTGTGAAAAGGTTAAGTAACCCTTCTTTATATCATACTCTCATATCATTGTAAAATTAAGAAGACCACTGGCATCATAATTACATTCCTATATGCAGCCTACCTCTTTATTCTCTGCCCTTTAAAATACCTGTTCAACTCTGCACTTGCAGTATACATCAAGTACTTAGTGTTCTCACTATGAACAATGATCAGCCATCTCTTATACATTAATAGTAGCATGCATAATTATACCTGTACATCAAACTTCACTAACAGCAGGTACAGTACACCATAACACGGTGTACTAGTACAGCAGGTACAGTACACCATGACCATGGTGTACTGGTATAGCAGGTACAATACACCATAACATGGTGTACTGGTACAGCAGGTACAGTACACCATAATGTGGTGTACTGGTACAGAAGGTACAGTACACCATAGCCTGGTGTACTGGTACATCAGGTACAGTACACCATAACATGGTGTACTGGTACATCAGGTACAGTACACCATGACCATGGTGTACTAGTATAGCAGGTACAGTACACCATGACCATGGTGTACTAGTACAGCAGGTACAGTACACCATGACCATGGTGTACTAGTACTGCAGGTACAGTACACCATGACCATGGTGTACTGGTACACCTGGAACATCTTTTAGTTTCATCCCCAATTTGTGAGTTAATTTGTAAACAAGAATATTAAATTATACAATACTGCATCATATAGTAAGTTAGCAGCAAAGCTAAGATAGTTTTGTTAGACGTAGTAACCAAAACATTTCAGATAAAGCCTATTAAGCACATAAGTATGATCAAACAGGAGTTACAATAGAAGTGGACAACTTATCTATATCCTTATGGGGTAAATCCTAACAAGATTCACTCTCCATTATATACATAACATGAACAACACTGTTTTGGAGCTTAATAGATGACTGTTTGTAACATGGCCCACAGGAGTCCATAAAGAACTTAGGAACACATTGAACTACAGCCCACATTGAACCAGGGTTCACACTGAACCACAGCCCTCATTGAACCAGGGTTCACATTGAACCAGGGTTCACACTGAACCAGGGTTCACACTGAACCAGGGTTCACACTGAACCAGGGTTCACACTGAACCAGCCACACTGAACCAGGGCTCACACTGACCCACAGCCCACACTGAACCAGAGCTCACACTGAACCACAGCCCACACTGAACCAGGGCTGACACTGACCCACAGCCCACACTGAACCAGGGCTCATACTGAACCACAGCCCACACTGAGCCAGCTCTCACACTGACCTACAGCCCACACTGAACCAGGGCTCACACTGACCCACAGCCCACACTGAACCAGGGCTCACACTGACCCACAGCCCACACTGAACCAGGGCTCGTACTGAACCATAGCCCACACTGAACCAGGGCTCACACTGACCTACAGCCCATACTGAACCAGGGCTCACACTGAACCACAGCCCACACTGAACCAGAGCCCACATTGAACCACAGCCCACACTGAACCACAGCCCACATTGAACCACAGCCCACACTGAACCACAGCCCACATTGAACCACAGCCCACACTGAACCAGAGTTCTCATGGTCAAACAGCAAGGAGTATATACTTATTACACTATTCTATTTTATTGTGTAAATTGAAAAATAAAATCCAGTTAGTAAATATAATGCTTCAAAGTCTCTTGGTATTAAAATACTATATTCTTTATTACTTTACTTCAGTAATAATAAATGTTGTGAGATGTTAGCACTGTTCATACCCACTCATAAAGTAGGACAGCATACTCATAAAGTATGAGAGCATACTCATAAATTAAGGCAGCATACTCAAAAAGTAGGGCAGCATACTCATAAAGTAGAGCATACTCATAAAGTAGGGCAACATACTCGTAAAGTAAGGCAGCATACTCATAAAGTAGGGCAGCATACTCATAAAGCAGGGCAGCATACTCATAAAGTAGGACAGCATACTCATAGAGTAGGGCAGCACTCAAAGTGAGGCAGCATACTCATAATCTTTAACACACTTATTCTGTTGCACAGATCTATTACTTCACTGGCATAGAACTTGTTCAATTGCATTAATGGGATCTTGCAACACCTGGGAGAATGGTAGGCATTTGGACTTGATTCAAGGAGCCAGACCACAGCTCCAATTCCTTAGACAAAAGCCCCTTACCAGCATCAAGGAACCTCCCTTGAGTGGTGGTAAAGGACTAGGCAGTAATACACGCACATCACAAAATTCTCTCAAGCACGTTGTCTGTGTTAAAGAACCAGTGGAGATTGAGATCTTTTTTCAACAAACCAGCTGTATCCCACTGAGGCGGGGTGTCCGAAAAGGAAAAACAAAAGTTTCTCCTTTTAAATTTAGTAATATATACAGGAGAAGGGGTTACTAGCCCCTTGCTCCCAGCATTTTAGTTGCCTCTTTCGATACGTATGGCTTACGGAGGAGGAATTCTGTTCAACTACCCCATGGAGATGGAGATTGAGATTGAGATATTCACATTTTTTGTCAATTTTCACAGTGTGAATTTTCTAAGTGGGATAATTCTCCAGGGCAATTTTGCTGGTACATCAGATTTAAAATTTTTAAAGTGCCTTTTGTAAAAACTAATAATACAAATTAAAATTACATGTCACACACTTTTTTTTTCATGACAACATTGATGTATGTATATATGAACATTACTGTGGATCATTACTAACATTCCCTTGGTTAGGATGCAGCAGTTACATGCAGTTATCTGAGAAGCTGGAATATATTTCTGACTGAAATACACATACTATAACATTACTAGATAATTATTTAACATGTGATAAAAAGTCTTAATTTTCTTAAACGTTTTCATAATTTGTCAAATTATTCTGATTTCCCTCGTCTATTTTTCAGGAGGTACTAATGAGGGTATAATGTATACAACCCAAGAAGCTTGTACCTAAGGCAGACATGGAAAGCCAAGAGAAGCAATGTGATAAACGTTGGCACAGAGAATTATTTATGATGAAATGGAAGTAAAGCTGTCATATTAACATATTACTGACACATTAAATTAAATACAATGAATGGAGTAGATAATGATTTATTTCCATACAAAAAATTCTGATCACATATAAAATGCATTAATTAAAGTCACTGTGAACTATTAATTTTACTGCTGTGAGAAGGAAGAGAATGGAGACACCTTTTACTCGAGTAGTGAATATAAACTACACAGTACACCACCACACCTCTGTATATACTACAGTAGGGAACATTAACTATTCAGTGCACCACCACACCTTTGTGGTGTACAGTGTACACAGTACATCACCACATCTCTGCATGCCTTCATTAAGTCCTTACAAGTTATTTAACTGTACATCTTAAGAACATGATTATTCTCCTGCCTACATGTACACTTCCAAACTCATCTTCATATCTTCTCTTTAACCCTCTGAGGGTGGGTCCTGTAGTACTACAGCTTTGAAGTCTGGTTCAGTCCCGTAGTTCTACGCCACAAGCTCAGCTCACTCAGATAAGCTGTGAGCCATATATTTGGGCCTATATATAAGAGAATGGGTTTATGCAGTAATTGTGCACCATATAAAAAAATTCCTGCAGTAAGCAGTGCATAATGGAAAAAACTGTTACCATGTTTTTGGTTTAAAACAGCAATTTTGTGGTGTATTTTCATGATTTTTATTGTTGTATTCATGGTCTCATATAACAGAATGGAAGATATATTACAGAAATAGAGATGATTTTGATTGGTTTTCAGACTAAAAGTAGCTTCAAATTGAGCTCAAAGTAGCAGAAATGTTAGATTTTTGCCAACATTCCAGAGTAAACAAATTACATCACTTGTGCAATACATGCCCAACTGGTCAGTCTAATGTGTCCACAAATACGCTGACATTATTTATACAATTTTTGCAATAATGCAGTAGTCTGCATAACAATAAATCTTTTATTTTTTGTGTGAATAAAAATTCAAAATGGAAAGCAAGCATAATATAGGAGAGGCCTGAAAATGTGACCAATGAACAGAGGAAATGTTGTTTTACTGCCAGAAATGTCTACACTGTTTATTCTGGACCCTATTTTGAAACTGGCAATTTTTTAATTTTGTGTAAAATTGGCCAAATTACCGATTTCTGATCACTTTATTGGGTAGTTGAATTAAGTAAATAGGTGGGTTCTTGTACTCAATCAATAGCATAGAAGAAATACTAGAGAAATAGATATGAGTTTGGTTGACTGGAACAATGGAATTTAGCTGAAAATAGGGCTCAAAGTGGGTGAAATCACCGATGTGTAAATATAGGTGAGAGCACAATTCCATAAGTTTTCCATCAAATTTTGTATTTTTGGTTTCATTACCCTTGGAAAAAGTTTCTCTATCATTTCATAAGAGAATTTTTTTTTTTTTTTTAAATTCTCCAACCCTAAGAGCAAGTTTCAGATCAGGGGTTCCGACCCTCAGAGGGTTAATGCCACATTTTATTATACACTTTATGTATTCTCAATTATCTGCAATTTTTACTTTGTTAATTGCTTAATACACCATAAATGTCCTCAAATACATTACAGGGATCAACTGAAATCATTATAAAACTATTAAAAAGCAAGACTTGAGAACATTCTCAATGTATCACAGTAGAAAATTATAAGAAAACAGCTTATTAGTTAAAAATAATAAAAATATTAACATTCTTTTACAAGTCAGAGATTATGGATCACTTTATGCATTATAGAACTATAATAAAATATATTTAAAAGTAGAACAATGAAATGGAAATAGAGAATGAATTACGTATATGAGAAATAACAATTGAGATTCAATAATATAAATGTTAATTTCTTTGACTGCTAGTTTTGTTACCATGAAAGATAATAATCTGAGTGGCTGAATGAGGTTACTGTAAAGTAAACCATCTTCTCGAATAGCAACAATTATTATAAAACAATTGAAAGAAATATGACAAAATATGATAGTGGACTACATCACACAGGCAGAAACACTGATCATTATATTTTAAAAGAATTTCTATAACTGTAACTAAAACAAGACAGTGATGTAGCCTGTATATACATATATCCCTTCTGCCAACCCAGTGTCAAGAATTTATATATACAAATAATAATATTCATATCTAAATGCAAATTGGTCAAAGAACTGACTTTTTAATGTTGCAAAGATTATATAAAAACATAAATTTAACTTGAATACAAACTACAGCAGGTTACCTTGATTAACACAGCCTGTAATAATACTGGAGATTCCTCCATTATTATTACTATATATGTATGTATGTTGTAACTAGTCAAACACCACAAAGTCCATGTATATTGAATGTGACTATAATTATTGCCTCTTCCACACAATAACAAGACCTGTAGCATCTGAAGTTGCAAGTAGTGACTCATCATAATTGAAGGTCACACCGAGGACAGGTGCTGCATGACCTTGCAGGCGATTGATGAGTGGTCGTGTGTCTCGCTCAACATCCAGGAACCAAACACTGCAGTCCTCACAGCCACTCACTAGAACAACAAATAACATTATTAATACATAATAAATCAACTTAGCTATGTATAATATTTCTAAAGGAGATAGTTTATCCTGATAATCTTACAGTGGAGCAAAAATAAACAACAGAAAACCCCTAATTAACAAATAGCCTCTTCTGTTGCAATCATAAAATAACTAAAAACTTAAATGAGAGCATTCATTATTCTTCATAACATCAATGACTTCACAGACTAACAAATCCTCACACATTCACTCTCCTTGAACCCATGATGCCACCATAATTCCACCATTCCATAATGTTGCAGTTCAGAGGGATGGATGAGCCACAAGGTCCATCCACTTCTAGTATGAGAACTACTCAATGAATAATAATTAATATGTTTCCTCTTTCCTAGGTGGTAGGTTGGTAGACAGCAACCGCCCAGGGAGGTACTACCGTCCTGTCAAGTGAGTGTAAAACGGAAACCTGTAATTGTTTTACATGATGGTAGGATTGGTGGTGTCCTTTTTTCTGTCTCATAAACATGCAAGATTTCAGGTACGTCTTGCTACTTCTACTTACACTTAGGTCACACTACACATACATGTACAAACATATATATACACACCCATCTGGGTTTCCTTCTATTTTCTTTCTAGTTCTTGTTTATTTCCTCTTACCTCCATGGGGAAGTGGAACAGAATTCTTCCTCCGTAAGCCATGCGTGTTATAAGAGGCGACTAAAATGCCGGGAGCAAGGGGCTAGTAACCTCTTCTCCTGTATATATTATTAAATGTAAAAAGAGAAACTTTCGTTTTTCCTTTTGGGCCACCCCACCTAGGTGGGATACGGCCGGTTTGTTGAAAGAAGAAGAAGTTTCCTCTTTTTTTTTTGTCACCCTACATGGTGGGAGACAGGCAGTGTGGTCAAACAATAATAACTCCAGTAATAAACAGAGCTTTCTTATTCACAAAATATGACAATAGGATACAGAAGATCCTCCTGCCTCAGGTACTTTGCAGTACTTCTCATACACACTTTCACTACTGCCATGATGTCATGGCATTACTGCCTCAAGCACTCTGTAGTACTTCGTACACACCTTCACTACTGCCATGATGTCATGGCATTACTGCCCTATATCTACTCTACTCCTATATCTTTATACCTGCTGTTCTCCTTTATCTATACAGTGGACCCCCGCTTAACGATCACCTCCCAATGCGACCAATTATGTAAGTGTATTTATGTAAGTGCGTTTGTACATGTATGTTTGGGGGTCTGAAATGGACTAATCTACTTCACAATATTCCTTATGGGAACAAATTCGGTCAGTACTGGCACCTGAACATACTTCTGGAATGAAAAAATATCGTTAACCGGGGGTCCACTGTATAGTTGCAGTACTCCTATATTGTCCTTGGTGAATCCTTAGAAATACAGCAGACCCCCGACATTCGAAGGCATCGACATTCGATAAATCCGACATTCAATGCATTTTAACGCAAAAATTTTGCCTCGACATTTGATACGATTCGTACGAAACGTGTCCACATGTGGCCTGAACTGCCCCGTGTGTGCCAGTGTTTACAAGCCAGCCAGTGTGCATGCATCTAAGGATACATTCGGTACATTCCATATTATCACTGTTTTTGGTGCTTGTTTCTGCAAAATAAGTAACCACGGGCCCCAAGAAAGCTTTTAGTGCCAACCCTCCGAGAAAAAAGGTGCTAATGACTATTGAAATAAAGAAAGAGATAATTGCAAAGTACAAAAGTGGAGTGCGTGTGTCGGAGTGCATGATGATTTGGTAAAGAAATTGCCTGCAGCTAGTGGTGATGTGAGTGAAGTTAAGGCCAGCAAAGGTTGGTTTGAAAGATTTAAGAATCATAGTGGCATACACAGTGTGGTAAGGCATGGTAAGGCTGCCAGTTCAAGTCCTAATGGAAGGGGATTCCCCTTCTAAACACTAACACCATCCACACTCTCCCCTCCTCCCATCCCATCAATCATCACTAGATCTTCATTAAAGGTAAGTGTCAATTATTCTATTGTTATTAATCTATTGTTATTGTTGTTATTGTAATTATTCTATTGCATTAAACTTAATATTTCATGTGGTAAAATTTTTTTTTTCATACTTTTGGGTGTCTTGCACGGATTAATTTGAATTCCATTATTTCTTATGGGGAAAATTAATTCGACTTTCGATATTTTCGACATTCGATAGCTCTCAGGAATGGATTAGTATCAAATGTCGAGGGTCCACTGTAATAATGAGTAAGTATTATATTGTCCAATACTGAAAACCTTGTTGGTAGTCTACACAGTGTTCCAAATACACAACACAATTCAAAAATATATGTATACCAAAGTTTTACAAGAAGAGCATCAGTGTTGTGGCATGTAAGATGTGTAAAATACATGTATACTAACAAATATTAATGATGTGTTTTTAATATGACACTTTAATAAATATAATTTATTGCTAAGTCTGAATCTGTATCAACAAAACTGTTTTAAAAATGTATAAAGGATTGGCAAAATACAATATAAAAATTTGGATTAGTGTAATAGTGCTGTACTGCTGAATAAAACTGACAATACTATGATTGGAACAATTCACAACCAACAGCCCATAATTTGGAGAGGAAATTTTTAACAACGTTTTGTTCAGTCTTGAACCACTGTTAAGCTACGACTGGTTTTTCTCTGTCAGACATAACATGATAATGGTTCAAGACAGACTGAGATGCCATCTAAAATTCCTCTTCAAACTGTGAGTTAGTTATGAAGAACAAAGCATTACTGACTTTTGCAGTACAGCCTTGCTACAGCACTCCCAAATCAAATTCAACTATCTGTATAACTTTTAACAACACTGTAGTAGATAAAAGACATATATGCATTGATCAAAATATAAATTAAAAGAACATTTCATCATGAGTGATTTCTTCAGTCTTAAACATTTCCTCAATAAATATCAATTAACTTAATTTCTGTGTGTTTTTTACTTTCAACATGTTAGTATCACCATGCCAGCTCACCAATACTATAATAGTAACTGAATATTTTATTATTAGCATTAAAATAATGTTACATTTTTATAATAAAACTCACCCACACATGCTCCCTGTCTGAAGGACATAAGTGGACAAAATGTAGAGCGTACAGGCTGGTATACATGAGAAATGCTAAAATTTCTCTTCAGGCGTAAACCTCCCTCTTTGTCCACAACTCTGCAAGAGAAGTAAAAAGATATTATAACTTGATAACCTATGATTTATACTCCTCATTACAATGTCTTGAATTACTCTGGCATATATTGTACGGCAGGTGTTGGTTACAAGTATGGTACACACCCGCTCCACACCAAACTTTTATTAAAGACAACATTTTATTCCGGGTAGAGCTTTTATCAAGTCTAGTAAAAAGGCAAATGATGGCTGACAACCTGAGCCAAATGAACAGGAATGTATTCACTCAAGATATTTTAGTCCTTTGGCTGAATGTACTGGAAGTGATAAGGTAAAAAAGACCAAAATGTTTTCAATAAAGGTGTCCTAAGTGAATGCCTTCTTGTCCATGGAAAGACATTAAAATACCTGTACAAAAGTAGTGTGTTACAAGCTGCACTGACAAGAAGCGTTGGATTGGGTGCCTCACGGCTGGCCCAGGTGCGTGCTGAGAGGCTTGTGATTGCTGCTCCTTCACTCACAACACAACGTTTTCCTTTTCTAAGACCTCCGCTCCCAAGGTCAAACAGGAATGAAATAATAATTCCCTGCAGAAAAAAACATTCTGCTTATATACACTTAAATTTTTGTTCCTGTTATATAATATAATGGGTTTATATAGTTCTATTCTAGGTTTACAAGCTAACAGTGCTATCACAACCTGGGTAACCTGCTAGTGTTTACAGGAATTGTTTCAGTTTCCTCTTGAAAACTTCTCTCACGAGCCTGAAGACATAATCTGGTTGTACATTTGGCTTACAGACTTACACCTCCACATTTACTATAGTTTTATTCCTGGTGCGATTGCCCCCTTAACACAGAAATTTTACAGTATGACATTAATTCCCAAGAAAGAAACCCCCCATTTATAACATTGTATCTATGGTAAATAATGGTTCAACTTAAAATGGTGTGGCAAAAACTCTTGGAACTAGATAGGTCAGAAGTGCTGTGGTCACCTATATCTTCTAATACTTTTTTTAACACAATGACTGTCTCCCACCGAGGTACGGTGACCCAAAAAAGGAAAAGCATTCACTGTCATTCCTGCAATAGCTGTCTTACTGGAAGGATGCTGACATCAGGTGGCTCTCAACTGCATCCTCCCCACCTATACCTTAAATTTTCTTCATTAATTAATTAGAAAAAATTCTATGGACATCAGTTTTTTCTAACTACAGGTGTTCCTAACACTCATTATTTCCTCTTAATCTCAAATCATACCCTTCAAGGTAAAAGGGCCTACTTTGATGCTGATGAAAGCTCTTGATCCAAGGAATTAAAACAATTTTTCCCTCTCCCTTGGATCACACCTGATTATCCGCTATCCCCCAGGCACTGTATGACCTTCATGCATGTACTGCTTCCTATGATTATAATAATAATAATTTAGTCTCAAAACTGTGAAAATATTAATTCTTGTTTTTCCAGTGAATATTAAAAGTTAACTGAGAAGACTCACCTTGTCATTACCAGCCCACTGAGAAGACTCACCCTGTCATTACCAGCCCACTGAGAAGACTCACCTTGTCATCACCAGCCCAGAGTGTTTTGCCTGAAGAATCAAACGTTAAAGCTGTTACTTGACCAGCCACTTTGCTTGTACCTCCCTTGGGATAATGGCCGGTGGAAATGTTCAAAACTTGCACCAAGCCTCGACTATTTCCCAGCTGTGTAATTCTAGTTAAGGTTGTACACTGTCATATTCAAATCTTGATACATATACCCAATACCATGGCTGTAATAATTCCCAATTAACTTACATACTGAAGATGAGGCAAGATTATGTTTCAGTCCATTCTCATCAATTATCAACTTGCAACATGTGAATATAATAATGGTATACAATGCGTACCAACAAGTAAATAAGACACGTACAACAGTTAGATATCTTCATTTTGAAACATTTTGCCTACACAGTAGGCTTCATCAGTCAAACACAGAGGTTGCAAATATGGAGAGAGCAGCAGTGGAGAGGCAAAGATGATGTGGTCAATCTGTCAACCTTGAAGGAGTAGTTTGAGGTGGTCAGTCCCACAGTCATATTTGCAACCTCTGTACCTGACTGATGATGCCTGCTGTGTAAGTGAAATATTTCAAAATAAAGATAGCTAACTGTTGCATGCCTGTCTTACTTATTAATTTGTAACATAATGGTACACAATGGACCAAAATGTAATCTTATTTCATCTCCAATTTCTAGGTTAGTTGTAATTTTTTTTTTCAACAAACTGGCCATATCCAATCGAGGCAGGGTGGCCCAAAAAGAAAAACAAAAGTTTCTCTTTTTAAATTTAGTAATTTATACAGGAGAAGGGGTTACTAGCCCCTTGCTCCTGGCATTTTAGTCGCCTCTTACAACACTCATAGCTTACGGAGGAAGAATTCTGTTTCACTTCCCCATGGATAGTTGTAAATTATGATATTCAAAGCTATTTGAAGGTGCTCTTCTAAAAAAGTAATTATTTGAAGACGATTAGGAGTAGGACTGAGAAAATGAAGAGAGATGACCTAGGAGTGAGATGCTCTGATTATAGTGTTGCCAGAAGTATTTTCTTACATACAGTACCTTGGAAATGAGTCACTTTGTCTGATTTTTTGGGTCATCTTAGGAAATTTTCATGTACATTAGTCTGCATGATAATTTGTGTAACTGTATTTATGTGTACCTGTACCTAAATAAGTTTATCTACCCTGATTACTTGGAACTTTAGAGAACATCTTATAGTAGCCAGGATTCTAAAGAAAATTGTTCATTTGAAATACAGTAAAAAGGAATTTTAAGTTGGGAATTATTTGGTTTTTGAAGGAAACTTAGTCAAATGAGATCCGAGAATGAGACTAACAAAAGGAATCAAAAGAGCTAATCAGGTCAATGCCAGCTCTTTTGATTACTTTTGTAAGTCTCACTTTCAGAATCTTCCTGACTTGTCCACTTTTCATGGTGCTCTCCTTACTGCTTTAGTCAAATGAGGTCACACCTTGGGAGGAGGAGGTATATTGTATATTCAGTGAGTGGTGGGGAAAGATGTGGTGCAGGTCTATTATAACCTAACTCCCTTGTATGAGTCTCTGGTCCTTAGGTCAATATCCTTCACTGGATTACCAGTCAATTATGTAAAAAAATTAAATATCACATCATATGCTTTTATTCCTAGGTAGTAGGTTGATAGACAGCAACCACCCAGGGAGATACTACCGTCCTGCCAAGTAAGTGTAAAACGGAAGCCTGTAATTGTTTTACATGATGGTTGGATTGCTGGTGTCTTTTTTTGTCTCATAAACATGCAGGATTTCAGGTACATCTTACTACTTCTACTTACACTTAGGTCACACTACACATGCATGTACAAGCACATACATGTATATATATACACACCCCTTTGGGTTTTCTTCTAATTTCTTACTAGTTCTTGTTCTTGTTTATTTCCTCTTATCTCCATGGGTGAGTGCAACAGAATTCCTCCTCCATAAGCCATGCGTGTTGTAACAGGCGACTAAAATGCCAGGAGAAAGGGGCTAGTAACCCCTTCTCCTGTGTAAATTACTAAATTTAAAAAGAAAAACTTTTGTTTTTCTTTTTGGGCCACCCCGCCTTGGTGGGATAGAGCCAGTTTGTTGAAAGAAGATTTTTAATATTTGTAAGAAGGATAAATTTCTTCAATAACACATTAGAACTTAAAAATTAACTGAAAAACATCATAAAGTTAATAATTACCACACAATTATGAACAAATAATATAAAATATAAATGGAGTAAAGGATACAACAGCCCAGTTGGAGTTAAGAGGATGAAAGAGGCAGGAGAGAACTTGTCCACCAGCTTGATCACTAACCGTACGAAGACACTGACCCGTTGATGAACTCCACAGACAGATAGCACCATCTTCACCACATGATAATAAAAGGTCATTTGTAGAAGACCAATCAAATCCTGTAAAACCAAGAAAATACTGAATGTATGTAAATTACAATCAAAAGGCTATGAATGGCTACATTATAACTTGAGTTTTTTCTGGTATTGCAGGACAAGTTATTTTTAACACACAGTTAGTGTGACACAAAGAAGGAAACACGTTCACCATTATTCATTCTCTAGCTGTCTTTCCAGAATGGCACAGACATCACAACTCAAATGACCTTCAGAGCTGTAACCTCCCCATCCATCCCTCAAGAGTGCAGGCACTCTACTTCCCACCTCCAGAACTGTAACCTCCTCATCCATCCCTCAGAGTGCAGGCACTCTACTTCCCACCTCCAGAACTGTAAGCTCCTCATCCGTCTTTCAGAGTGCAGGTACTCTACTTTCCACTTTCAGAACTCAAGTTCAGTTCATTGGTTTTTCATAAATTCCTTCACAGATATAACTTTGCTCACACTCCAACATTGTGTCAGACTAAACACATTACAGTGGACCCCCGGTATTCGATGGCATCGGTATTCGATAAATCCGGTATTCGATGCATTTTAACGCAAAAATTTTGCCTCGGTATCCGATTGAAAACCCGGTATTCGATACGATTCGTACGAGACGTGTCCACATGTGGCCTGAACTGCCCCTTGTGTGCCAGTGTTTACAAGCCAGCCAGTGTGCGCGCATCTAAGGATACATTCGGTACATTCCATATTATCCATATTATCACTGTTTTTGGTGCTTGTTTCTGCAAAGTAAGTCACCATGGGCCCCAAGAAAGCTTCTAGTGCCAACCCTGTGGTAAAAAGGGTGAGAATTAGTATGGAAATTAAGAAAGATTTTGAAGGGTTTGGGGCTAACCCTGAGAAGCCTATGCCAGTTGTGGAATCCATTGTGCCTACTTCAAAAATTAAGGAAATGTGTGCACAGTGGGTTGAAGTGCAAACCTTTATGGATGAAAATCACCCTAACACAGCTATTGCAAGCCGTGCTGGTGACTATTACAATGACAATGTTGTGGCCCATTTTAGACAAATCGTAAAGGAACGGGAGGTACAGAGCTCTATGGACAGATTTGTTGTGCGACAGAGGTCCAGTGACTCTCAAGCTGGTCCTAGTGACATTAAAAGAAGGGAAGTAACCCCGGAAAAGGACTTGCTACCTCAAGTCCTAATGGAAGGGGATTCCCCTTCTAAACACTAACACCATCCACACTCTCCCCTCCTCCCATCCCATCAATCATCACCAGATCTTCAATAAAGGTAAGTGTCATGTAACTGTGCATGTCTCCTTCAATTTGTGTGTATTAAAATTAATATTTCATGTAAAAAATTTTTTTTTTCATACTTTAGGGTGTCTTGCACGGATTAATTTGATTTCCATTATTTCTTATGGGGAAAATTGATTCGCTTTTCGATATTTTTGGTATTTGATGAGCTCTCAGGAACGGATTAATATCGAATACCGGGGGTCCACTGTATATGACTATAATATGTATTTATAATATCTCACCTCTTCCTGTCCATAATTTTAAAGATGACACACAACCACTACACTCATTGATATCGTTTCTTTCTCGAATTTTGTCACTATCAATGTTTTGAAATTTGTGTTAACATTCAAACAACCTTTTGAACAACAAATTAAAGAGCAATAATTTAACTGTTGTGACAGATAATAAAGATGCTCTCTTAATTAAACCAAATATAAGTATGAAGATATGTTTACTAAGAACATTTAGAAGGATGTGTAAGAATGTAGTTCAGGGAGTAGTTGGAAAGACAGCCAAAGACTGAGTGATCATGAATATGCTTTTTGTCCATTTGTGTGTGTGCACGACAAGTAATCACAACAATCAAATTAATCTACCTACTAATGGGGATTCTCCACAATTAATTTAAAAAAAAAAAAAAGCTTTTACCCTACCTCAGTTCATTACAATGACATGTCCTATCTAAAGTATACGTATTACCATTTCCCAAGATGTGACCTACAACAGATGACTAATACCCAAGTACAGTGGAACCTCAAAAATCGAACTGCTCCCAACTCAACCAATTATGTAAGTGTATTTTTGTAAGTGCTTTTATAAGTGTATTTTTGAGGGTCTTAAATGGTCTAATCTAATTTACATTATTCCTGATGGGAATAAATTCATTCGGTAGTGGCACTCGAACAGCCTTCTGGACCGAAGAAAGTTCGATATTTGAGGTTCCACTGTATTGTATACAGTATACAGGTACTGTATATGTTAACTGCTAGATGAACATGAGCAATAAGTGTAAGGAGATTTATTTTCCAGCACTTTAATCCACCACTACCGAGAGAGGAAGTGTTTTCTTCCTTGTTGGGTCATCCTGCCTCAGCGGGAGACACCTGCAGTACTAACAAAAAAATTTAGCAACTAACAAGAAATATTTGGACAAAGGCTTTAATATTAAAAGTGTTAAGGAGGCAGGTGTGTGATGACACAACTGACCTGTAACACCAGCAGTATGGTGACGGAGGGTGTGAAGTACTCGTGGCTCTCCCTCAGATACTTGACACACAGACAAAGTACTATCGAGGGAAGAACATGCCAACAGACCCAGATCATTGTGAGCAAACTTCACCATTGTAACACTATCTGCATGCTGTAATGAGAAATGACATTTAAAGAATAAAAAAGAAACTACAGGAAACAATAACTGAGTAGAAGAGACACTTTAATAGCATTTATTTAGGTAGGACCTACAGTGCCACTACAGTGTAACTAACATTATACAGCATTAGGAAATTCTTACCTACACCCTTAACTCCATCTTAATGATTACAGTATGTTCTGCATTAATTACAAGATGGAGAATGACAAAGGTTTCTTAACATTTTGAGTGAACATTGGCACTATACACTGAAATGTAAGCAGCATCCAAATTATGCCTAACGCCCTTTGAAGAATAAGACACTTATGCAACATTTGGGAATCTTTACTGAGGAAACATTTTGCCAGCCAATGTCTTCTTCAGTCCAATACAAAGAAGAATGATGGAAGAGGGGGAGGAATTTGAGGTAATCAATCCCTCAGCCTGGAGTCAATGTATTTCCTTAATAAATATTTCCAAATGTTGTACTAGTGTCTTAGTCTTCAACTTGTCAGCTTTCTAAACTATTTATTGCACTACCTCTCTTCCCCAACATTTTTGATAATTTTTTCCTGATGAGATAGACAGCCCTAGAAAAAAAAAAAAAAATTTTATGGAATGACACTGATATCCAGGAAGAGGATCCCCATTTATAACATTGTGTCTATAAGAAACAATGGTTCAACTTACAATGGTTTAACTACCAATGACTCTCCCATAACCAGTTAAGAAATAAGTGCAAGGGTCACCTGTACTGTAGCAGAAACTGAACAGCATTTCTGAAAGTATTTCCTGAAACATTTTCTGAACGACCCTAGTGTTGTGACTTAAATTACTCAAGGTGAACACTTCTTATGTTGTCTTCAGTTGTGTGTGAGAAGAACCTTAACCATCACCTCATGTCCTACTGTCTAAACCTGCCTTTGTTCTTTTGTTCACAACATGGTACTAAAGGTTCACAACAGACAGAGAGGTTGTCCTATGTAATTAGTAGCACATAACCAACATAGGCCATGTCAAGATAATATACTATATATTGTAGATGATTTATGGAGGGATTCAATATAACTTTTTAGCCAGACTTTGAGTCCTGGAGGATGGAGGTACAGTGCCTGCACTCTGGAGGGAGTGAGAGGATGTTACAGCTCTGAGAGTCAATGACAGTGTGATGGTGTGTGCACTCTTGACAGTTACTGAGTGAATCTTGTGAACATTTCTTGGTAGGAGAATTACAACACTCCACATGGAACAAAACACTGTCACATTACATCTTCCTCTGCACTTGTAGTTTTTCTTCACAGAAATATAAAGGATCAATAGTCAATATGTAAATCATAAGGAAAAACATTTATTGTTGAGTAAATATACTCTTGTAATCACAGTATTTAATTTATTTTCCCAAGTACTGTATATATGGTGCCTTTTAAACTGCTGGTAATAAATATATACAGTAGACTCCCATATCCATGGATTCAGTATCTCCAGTTTCAGTTATTCACTGTTTACTGTGGCCCAAAAATAACCATTAATTTTGCTTAATAATGGCCCCAAAACACAAAAGTAGTAATGTTGGCAGTTCTTCAAAGCCTAAGAGAAGCCGTGAAATGCTTCCCATCAGTGAAAAAGTGCTAATTCTAGAATTATTTTACTTAATTTATCAATTAAACTTTATCACAGGTATCTTTGTAAACAAAAAATGACATATATAGGGTTCACTACTATCCATGGTTTCAGGTATCCACAACAGGTCTTGGAATGTATCCCCCCCCAGATACGGGAGGACTATTGTATAGACTTCAGTCCTATTTCATCCTCACTCAGTTAACTGCTGGCAACACATATACAGACTTATAAACTGCTCGTAACATATATATAGACGTCAGTCGTACTTGATCAAAGATGTGGTGCACTCCTGAGAAAGCATAATTTTCCCCAATAGAGGTACCACCCACGATGGCTTTGGAAGCTTCAGCTCGTTGTGTAGGAACAACAGAGCCAGCTGGTGGTGGTCCCTGAGGTCCCTCAATGCCTTGGCTTCCTGTCTGTGACATTGTCACACTCATGTTGCGACTCATACAACGTGGAGAATCACCCTGTTGGTGGAGTTCAAATAAATTAATATAATTACCTTCTTCAACATACAAAAGTATTCAAAAGAAATATATATCTTAATACTGTACATTGGGTGACAAGAAAAATGGCAAGAGCCTTCTGTCAGTCAGTGTTCTTTGAGAATGTGACTGAGATACCATGAAATTGCTGTAATTTATTTCCTGTCATTGTAGTTCTTTACAAGAACCTCCCTACATTAAAAGTGGCAGTAAAAAATTATCACATAAAGAACATACTCAATTACAACATTATCTTCATTCATCATACTCTTTATTACATAGTCATATCATCATTTAAAGACAAAATTAAGCTCATAGGAAATAAAAAAAATTTTAACTGTAAGACCTTGCAGTTACAGTACAAGAACAAATTCGAAAATGTGATTATTTCCAATATAAGTTCCCTCACTTTATTCAAATTCAACAATTCCAAATGTACAATGTAAGTCACTGTATGTGACCAGTGCAGCTCACAAAATGTACTGGAGATTCTAATTATGCAGAATTAATCGCTGATGGTTTGATTGTGCCTAGTTGCAGCTGCCATGGAAATGGATCATATAATAATAATAATAATAATAATAATATAATTATGTATTTGGGGGAGGGGTAAAGTAATTGGGAGCTTAATTGACTATGTTTAGAAAGATTGGTCCATAAGTAATACAATACTTTTAGTTTTAATAACGAGAGTAAAATAATGATACAAGGTATGATAGTAGCACTCATGAAAGAGTAGTGAATGTTTTGGAAAAAAAGAGGAGGAGCAGTTTAGGGGTAAGATATAACACAGCTATTGGAGGATAAAAGGGTAATGAGAGCATAGGCATGGGGAACGAAGAGGTAGGGTGAAGGTTTAAAAACTGTAGGAGAATGTTCAGGAAGATTTAAGCGCTTACGGCAAAAGGTGGGCAGGAAAGAGGAGCTATTGGGGGTGAAGATGATGTTAAAGAGAGTAGTAATGTGGGGCAAAAGTTAGATAGATGAGAAGTATTTAAGATGAGTAAAGTGATAAAGAGAGAAGAGCTATATGAGAGTAAAAGAGAAGGTTATAAGGAGAGAAAGAGGTAAAGCAATGGTAAAAATTGGAGAGGCAAGAGAGAGAGATGGGGAGAGGCATGTTCAACAAATTTTAATTGAAAATAAGAAAAAGTTTTGGAGTGAGTTAACAAGTTAAGAAAGCCTAGAGAACAAATGGATTTGTCAGTTAAAAATAGAGAGGAGAGTTAGTTAAATGGAGAGATGGAGGTATTGGGTAGATGGAAGGAATATTTTGAGGAATTTTAAATGTTAGAAGAAATAGGAGCAGTATTTCGTGCATGGGCAAGGAGGATAACCATCTTTTAGGAGTGAAGAAGAGCAGTTGTAAGTGTGGGGGAAGTTACGTGAGGCAGTAGGTAAAATGAAAGGGGGTAAGGCAGCTCGGAATGATGGGATAAGACAGAAATGTTAAAAGCAGGGGGGATATAGTTTGGAGTGGTTGGTACTTTTGTTAATAAATGTATGAAGAGGTAAGGTACCTAGGGATTGGCAGAGAGCATGATAGTTCCCTTTGTATAAAGGGAAAGGGGATAAAAAGAGAGCAAAAATTATAGGGAATAAGTCTTTGAGTTACCGGAAAGTGTATGGTAGAGTTATAATTGAAAGAATTAAGAGTAAGACAGAATAGGATAGCGGATGAACAAGGAGGTTTAGGGAAGGTAGGGGGTGTGTGATCAGGTGTTTACAGTGAAACATATAAGTGAACAGTATTTAGATAAAGTAAAGGAAGGTTTTTGTGGCATTTATGGATTTAGAAAAGGCATATGATAGGTGGATAGGGGAGCAATGTGGCAGATGTTGCAAGTATATGGTAGTGAGTAGTTACTGAAAGCTGTAAAGAGTTTTTATGAGGATAGTGAGGCTCAGGTTAGGATGTGAGAAGAGAGGGAAATTTTTTCCCAGTAAAAGTAGGCCTTAGACAAGGGATGTGTATGTCACCATGGTTGTTTAATATATTTATAGATGGGGTTGTAAAGGAAGTAAATGCGAGGGTTTGGAAGAGGGTGGAGATTAAAAATAGAATCACACACAAATGGGATTGTCACAGTTAGCTTTTGCTGATGACACTGTGCTCTTGGGAGATTCTAAAAGAAGTTGCAGAGTTGGTGGATGAATTTAGGGATGTGTAAAGAAGAAATTGAAAGTGAATACAGAAAGAGTAAGGTATGAGGTGTCAAAAGATTTTGGATAAAGAAAATTGATATCAAATTGGAGGGAGGAGTATGGAAGGAAGGTGAACGTTCAGATATTTGGGAGTGACGTGTCGGCAGGGTGGATCTATGAAGATGAGGTAATCATAGAATTGATGAGGGAAAAAAGGTGAGTGGTGCCTTGAGGATTGTGGAGAAAAAACGTTTGTCTATGGAGGCAAAGAGGGTATGTATGAAGTATAGTTATTACCAACGCTCTTATATGGGTGTGAAGCTTGGGTGTGAATTGCAGCGAGGAGAACGGTTGGAGGCAGTGGAGATGTCCTGTTAGGGCAATGTGTGGTGTAAATATTAATGCAGAAATTCGTAGTTGGAAATTAGGAGAGGTGGGGATTAACAAAATTTAGTCAGAGGGCGAGGAAGGGTTGTTGAGGTGGTTGGTCATTGTAGAGAGAATGGAGCAAAGAATGACATGCAAAGCATGTAATCTATTGAGTGGAAGGAAGGCGGGGTAGGGGTCGTCCTAGAAAAGGGTTGGAGAGAGGGGGTAAAGGAGGTTTTGTGTGGTAGGGGCTTGGACTTCCAGCAGCGTGCGTGAGCGTGTTTGATAGGAGTGAATGGAGACAAATGGTTCTTGAGAACTGACGTGCTGTTGGAGTGTGAGCAAAGTAACATTTATGAAGGGATTCAGGGAAACCGGCATAGTCGGACTTGAGTCCTGGAATGGGAAGTACAATGCCTGCACTTGAAAGAGGTTGGATTGGTTAATGTTGTGTATTTTAAAAAGCTTCTAGTGTATAGCACCCTCTGGCACAGAAGTGCGAGTGAGGTGAAATGTGATGTGTGAAAACGGTTTTCTTTCTTTTTGGGCCACCCTGCCTCGGTGGGAACGGCCCTGTGAAAAAAAAAAAAAAAAAAAAAAAAAAAATAATAATAATAATAATAATAATAATAATAATAATACATGTAATAATAATAGTAATAATAATAATAATAATAATAATAATAATAATAATAATAATAATAATAAAATAATAATAATATCTTTATTTTTACAAGTACATGTAGAAAGTATACAGACCATAGCTAACATTAATGACATACTACTACAAGTACGGTGGTACCTCAGGATACGAACAGCTCAAAACTCGAACAATTATGTAAGTGTATTTATGTAAGTGCTTTTGTAAGTGTATTTTTGGGGGTATGAAATGGATTAATCTAATTTACATTATTTCTTATGGGAACAAATTCGTTCAGTATCGGCATTCAAACAGCCTTCTGGAACGAATGAAGTTTGTATCCCAAGGTACCACTGTATACAGAAAGCCGCTTGTTATGCAGAGCATTTCGGGCAAATCAGGTCAGTTTTGTCCCAAGATGTGACCCCACACCAGTCAACTAACACCCAGGTACCCATTTTACTGATGGGGAGCATAGACAACTGGTGCAAGGAAACACGCCCAATGTTTGTACCCTCGCCAGGAATCAAACCTGGACTCTCACTGTGTGAAGTGAGAGCTTGAGCCATAAGGCCACCAACGGGCTGCATAAAGAGAATGTCACCTGTAGAGGGTATTGTTGAGAATACAACCTACCTCGACTGTGAGCCGTGATACAGAGCGAAGACTCGCTGGTCGACTTTTTAGACTGAGCTGGTCTAGGGTGACACAATAGCGCTGCTGCAACAATGCTAGTCTTACTCTTAAGTAGTTACGTACACCACCATTATCCTGCCAATCAAAGATGCTGAATTTAATATTCTTACTGAGTCATAACAATATTAAATACTGTTAACCTGTCTTTGTAACACTAATGTATCTTCTTGCAAAACACATATTACAGAATTATTATTACAGTATGTATGTATGTATGCAAAAGGAGAGCAGATGATAGAGTGGGAGAGGCACTGTCAAGAAATTTTAATGAAAATAAGAAAAAAATTTTGGAATGAGTTAAACAAGTTAAGAAAGCCTAGGGAAAGTATGGATTTGTCAGTTAAAAACAGAGTAGGGGAGTTAGTAGATGGGGACTGGGAGGTATTAGGTAGATGGCGAGAATATTTTGAGGAACTTTTAAATGTTGAGGAAGAAAGGGAGGCGGTAATTTCATGCACTGGCCAGGGAGGTATACCATCTTTTAGGAGTGAAGAAGAGCAGAATGTAAGTGTGGTGGAGGTACGTGAGGCATTACGTAGAATAAAAGGGGTAAAGCAGCTGGAACTGATGGGATCATGACAGAAATGTTAAAAGCAGGGGGGTATATAGTGTTGGAGTGGTTGGTACTTTTGTTTAATAAATGTATGAAAGAGGGGAAGGTGGCCCGGTGGCCTGGTGGCTAAAGCTCCCGCTTCACACACGGAGGGCCCGGGTTCGATTCCCGACGGGTGGAAACATTTCGACACGTTTCCTTACACCTGTTGTCCTGTTCACCTAGCAGCAAATAGGTACCTGGGTGTTAGTCGACTGGTGTGGGTCGCATCCTGGGGGACAAGATTAAGGACCCCAATGGAAATAAGTTAGACAGTCCTCGATGACGCACTGACTTTCTTGGGTTATCCTGGGTGGCTAACCCTCCGGGGTTAAAAATCCGAACGAAATCTCTCTCTCTCTCTTACCTAGGGATTGGCGGAGAGCATGTATAATCCCTTTATATAAAGGGAAAGGGGACAAAAGAGACTGTAAAAATTATAGAGGAATAAGTTTACTGAGTATACCAGGAAAAGTATACGGTAGGGTTATAATTGAAAGAATTAGAGGTAAGACAGAATGTAGGATTGCGGATGAGCAGGGAGGCTTCAGAGTGGGTAGGGGATGTGTAGATCAAGTGTTTACATTGAAGCATATATGTGAACAGTATTTAGATAAAGGTAGGGAAGTTTTTATTGCATTTATGGATTTAGAAAAGGCATATGATAGAGTGGATAGAGGAGCAATGTGGCAGATGTTGCAAGTATATAGAATAGGTGGTAAGTTACTAAATGCTGTTAAGAGTTTTTATGAGGATAGTGAGGCTCAGGTTAGGGTGTGTAGAAGAGAGGGAGAATACTTCCTGGTAAAAGTAGGTCTTAGACAGGGATGTGTAATGTCACCATGGTTGTTTAATATATTTATAGATGGGGTTGTAAAAGAAGTAAATGCTAGGGTGTTCGGGAGAGGGGTGGGATTAAATTATGGGGAATCAAATTCAAAATGGGAATTGACACAGTTACTTTTTGCTGATGATACTGTGCTTATGGGAGATTCTAAAGAAAAATTGCAAAGGTTAGTGGATGAGTTTGGGAATGTGTGTACAGGTAGAAAGTTGAAAGTAAACATAGAAAAGAGTAAGGTGATGAGGGTATCAAATGATTTAGATAAAGAAAAAATGGATATCAAATTGGGGAGGAGGAGTATGGAAGAAGTGAATGTTTTCAGATACTTGGGAGTTGACGTGTCGGCGGATGGATTTATGAAGGATGAGGTTAATCATAGAATTGATGAGGGAAAAAAGGTGAGTGGTGCGTTGAGGTATATGTGGAGTCAAAAAACGCTATCTATGGAGGCAAAGAAGGGAATGTATGAAAGTATAGTGGTACCAACACTCTTATATGGATGTGAAGCTTGGGTGGTAAATGTAGCAGCGAGGAGACGGTTGGAGGCAGTGGAGATGTCCTGTCTAAGGGCAATGTGTGGTGTAAATATTATGCAGAAAATTCAGAGTGTGGAAATTAGGAGAAGGTGTGGAGTTAATAAAAGCATTAGTCAGAGGGCAGAAGAAGGGTTGTTGAGGTGGTTTGGTCATTTAGAGAGAATGGATCAAAGTAGAATGACATGGAAAGCATATAAATCTATAGGGGAAGGAAGGAGGGGTAGGGGTCTCCTCGAAAGGGTTGGAGAGAGGGGGTAAAGGAGGTTTTGTGGGCGAGGGGCTTGGACTTCCAGCAAGCGTGCGTGAGTGTGTTAGATAGGAGTGAATGGAGACGAATGGTACTTGGAACCTGACGATCTGTTGGAGTGTGAGCAGGGTAATATTTAGTGAAGGGATTCAAGGAAACCGGTTATTTTCATATAGTCGGACTTGAGTCCTGGAAATGGGAAGTACAATGCCTGCACTTTAAAGGAGGGGTTTGGGATATTGGCAGTTTGGAGGGATATGTTGTGTATCTTTATACGTATATGCTTCTAAACTGTTGTATTCTGAGCACCTCTGCAAAAACAGTGATAATGTGTGAGTGTGGTGAAAGTGTTGAATGATGATGAAAGCATTTTTTTTTGGGGATTTTCTTTCTTTTTTGGGTCACCCTGCCTCGGTGGGAGACGGCCGACTTGTTGAAAAAAAAAAAATGTATGTATTATTATTATTACTACTACTATTATTATTATTTTTTAACAAACCATCCCTCTCCCACTAAAGTAGGGCAACCCAAAAAAATAAAAAACACTTTCAACATCACTCACTCCATCACTGTCTTGCCAGAGGCCCACCAGTACTACAGTTCAGATATACTCCTGCCTTCCAATCTGATATCCAGTCTTTCATTACTTAAATTTTTTGTGACCCTCATCACCTTGCTCTTTCCTGGTTTCATTTTTAGTTTCCTTCATTTACATACTATCCCAAATTCATCTACCAACCTTTGCAACTTCTCTTTAGAAACTCCCAATAGCACCGTGTCATCGGCAAAAGGCAACTGTGACAACTCCCACTTTGTATTAGTTTCCTTATCTTTTAATCCCACACCTCTCCCTAACATTTTAGCATTCAAATTTTTTACAACCCCATCTATATGTAAGCAGCCATGGTGACATCATGCATTCCTGTCTAAGGTCTACTTTTACTGGAAAATAATTTCCTTCTCTCCTAGATACCCTATAATATCTTTTATTTCTACAAGTACATGTACAGGGTATACCGGCCTAGCTGACATCAATGACATGCTACTATACAGAAAGCCACTTGACATGCACAGCATTTCGGGCAAATTAAGTCAGTTTTGTCCCAGGAGGCCTGGTCACAGACCGGGCCACGGGGGCGTTGACCCCCAGAACTCTCTCCAGGCAAACTCCAGGATGTGACCCACCCAGGTACCCATTTTACTGATGGAGAATATAGACAACTGGTTTAAAGAAACATGCCCAATGTTTCTACCCTCACCAGAAACTGAGCCCAGACCCTTACCATGTGAAGCAAGAGCTTTAGTCGCCAGGCCACAGGGCACTGTCAAGCTTCAGTCGCCAGGCCACAGGGCACTGTCAAGCTTCAGTCGCCAGGCCACAGGGCACTGTCAAGCTAAGCCTTGCTATCTTTATGAAACCTCTTAACTGCTTTATGTAACCTTTCACCCATTTCATACACTTGCAATATTGATTCCTTATCCACCCTATCTTATGCCTTTACTAAATACATAAATGCAATAAAAACTTACTTACCCTTATCTAAATATTGTTTGCCTATATGCTTTAATGTAAACACTTCGGTTTACACACCTCCAACCCTTCCTAACACCCCCTTGTTCATCTGCAAACCTGCTCTCCATCATTTCCTTAATTCTTTCAATAATAACTCTACCATACACCTTACCAGGTATAATCAAAAGGCTTTTTTCCCTATAAATCTTACACTTTCTTTTGTCCTCTTTTCCTTTATACAAAGGAACTAAACACACTCTCTGTCAATCCCTATGTAACTTTCTCTCTTTCATACATTTATTGAACAAAAGCACCAACCATTCCAAAACTATATTCTCACCTGCTTTTAACATTCTGTCTTGATTTCATCAATCCCAAATGCTATACTTTCCTTTTATTTTACCCACTGTCTCATGCACCTCCTCCACACTCACATCCAGCTCTTCCTCACTCCTAAAGGATATTATCCTTCCCTGGCCAATCCATGTAATCACTGCCTCCCTCTCTTCATCAATATTTAATAGCTCAAAATATTCTCTCCATCTTCCCAATACAGTGGAACCTCAAATTTCGAGCTTAATCTGTTCCAGGAGTTAGTTCTAAATTTGAAAAGTCTGAAAAGCGAAGCAATATTTCCCATAAGAAATAATAAAAATACGATTAATCTGTTCCAGAAACCCAAAAATATTCACAAAAAAATACATCTTATAGAAATTAATTATAGTTTTACATACACACAACAAATGTCATGTGCAATTATGTATTAATAAATTTAAATAAACATATCAAATAACATTTTTACTCACCTTTATTGGAGATTGGTGATGGCATCTGGAAGATAGGGAGGAGGAGAGAGGGAGTTGGGGTTAGTGTTTGGAAGGGGAATCCCCCTCCATAAGGACTTTAGGTATCAAAGCCCTCTCTGGGGTTACTTCCCTTCTCTGTCTTTTAATGCCACTAGGACCAGCTTGAGAGTCACTGGACCCCTGTCTCACAAAATAACTGTCCACAGTCCTCTGTTTCTGGCACCTCTTTAAGATTTCCCTAAAATGGGACATGGTTCTGTCACTGAACTTGTTGCAAAGATGGCTTGTTTCAGCTTGCTCAGGGTGGTACTTCTCCACAAACATTTGGACATCATTCCACTTGGCACAAATCTCCTTAATCTTTGAAGAAGGCAAACAGGTCCGGTACCCAGCAGTTCAAAAATAGGGGCGAGTTCAATAATGGGGACAAAGTTGGTTCGAAAAAAGCGGTCGATTTTCAAAGAGTTCGATAAGCGATATGTTCGAAATTTGAGGTTCCACTGTATCTTCACCTCCTCATCTAATAACTCTTCTTTTCTGTTTTTAACTGTTAAATCCTTTCCTTCCCTAAATTTTCTCAGCTTATCAGTCTCCAAAACTTTTTCTTATTCTCAGTAAAATTTGTTGACAGGACATCTCACACACACTCTCATTTGCTTTCCTTTAGCACTTGCTCACCACTCTCCTAACTTGTCTTTTACTCTCCATATACTCCTCCCTCCTCATATCACTTCTATTTTGTAAAAACCTTCTATATGTTAACTTTTTCCTTCTTACCACTCTCTTGACCTCATCATTCCACCAAGCACCCCTCTTCTCTCCTACATCCACCCTCCTATATCCAGAAACTTCTGTTGCACACTCTAACACTGCATTCTTAAATCTGCCCAATATCTCTTCTTTCAACCTCACAACCTATACTCTCACTAGCCCATACTTCTACCATTAGTTACTTGTTTCTTACCCTAACTACCTCCTTTAATTTATAAACTTTCATTTCTCTCTTACTTGCAAATGCCGTTCTCCTTGTACCTCATCTACCTCTTACTCTCACTGTAGCTACAACTAAATAGTGCTCTGATATATCTGTTGCCCCTCCAAAAGCAACATTGAGAAGTCAACCCATCAACATTTTATTCACCAATACATGATCCAACAAACTACTGTCATTATGCCCTATATCATATCTCATGTAACTATTTATCCTCTTTTTCTTAAAATGTATATTACCTATTACCAAACATTTTTCTATACAAAGTTCAATTCAAATACTTATCATTTACTCTTGGCACCCTAAACTTACCTATTACACCCTCTACAATAGTTGCTCCCACTTTAGCATTCAAGTCCACCATTACAACTATTTTCTTATTTGGTTCAAAACTTCATAAACACTCAACATCTCCCAAAATTTCTCTCTCTCTTCTACACTCCTCTCTTCTCCTGGTGCATGAACACTTAGTATAACCCACTTTTCACATCTGATCCTTATTTTAATCGACATAATCCCCAAATTTATACATATTCCCTCTTTTCCTGTCAAAACTGATCCTTCAATATTATTGCTACTCCTTCCTTAGCTCTAACTCTCTCAGATACTCCTGACCTAATCCAATTTATTTCTCCCTACTGAAGTTCTCCTATCCCCCTTCCGTTCTGTTTCGCTAAGAGCTAGGACATCCAGCTTCTTTTTATTCATAACACTGACAATCATCTCTTTCTTATCATTTGTACTACATCAATGTACATTCAAACATTACAACTTTATAAACATCTTCCACAAAATATTTCCTCCATCTTCCCAATACCTCCACTTCTTCATCTCATAATTCCCCTCTTCTGTTTTTAACTGTTAAATCCATTTGTTGACAAGGTTTTCTAAACTTATTAACCTTCACTCAATAACATTCAAAGTTTCATTAAAAGCAAAACAAGAAAAATGTGATGACATACTTCCTCGCGAGCGCTGTCCCTCAGTAGCTGACTACGTCGTCGAATATATAATGTCTCTGAAAAGGAAGATTTAATCAAGTTCTGAAATGACTTGCAGTTAACACATAATTGTCATATCTTGCCATCATAATCTTTTCCACTCACTCAGAAAACTTATTAAAATATAAACAGCTTGTATATACTGTACTGTACTATTCATTGCACTGTAATACTGTACTATGCACTGTACAGTAATACTGTATTATACACTGCACTGTAATACTGCACTATACATGGGACTGTAATACTGTACAATACATGGCACTATGATACTGTACTATACATGACACTATAATACTGTACTATACATGACACTATAATACTGTACTATACATGACACTATAATACTGTACTATACATGGCACTGTAATACTGTACTATACATGGCACTGTAATACTGTACTATACATGGCACTGTAATACTGTACTATACATGGCACTGTAATATAGTACTATACATGGCACTGTAATACAGTACTATACATGGCACTGTAATACTGTACTATACATGGCACTGTAATACTGTACTATACATGGCACTATAATACTGTACTATACATGGCACTGTAATACAGTACTATACATGGCACTGTAATACAGTACTATACATGGCACTATAATACTGTACTATACATGGCACTATAATACTGTACTATACATGACACTATAATACTGTACTATACATGGCACTGTAATACAGTACTATACATGGCACTATAACATTGTACTATACATGGCACTATAATACTGTACTATACATTACACTATAATACTGTACTATACATGGCACTGTAATACTGTACTATGCACTACACTGTAATACTATATTATTATTCAGTACTGTATTTCCTGTACTCTGTACAAATTACTGTATGCATATGTACTTAATTTATAGCATATAATAACCTGCATTACAGTATACAACTTGTTATAAATGAAAACTGGACATCAGATCAGTCCATCTTGGACCTTCATTATATAATGAGTAAGTTTAAATGGGAAGAAAAGCACATAAAAATAACCTCTAATTTTTGTGGTTGTGGATCAATGTAACTAAAATAACTGTAAGGTTGAATAACATAATCTAAATAAACTAATTAAGATGTATTTAACTGCTTAGCAACCTTACAAAGCACATTAAACTAGGACTGATAAAAATAACAACTATATTCATTGTACAGAGATAAGTATGATTCCATACTGCTTTACAACTGACTCCATAGTCCTTTACAACTGACTCCATAGTCCTTTACAACTGACTCCATAGTCCTTTACAACTGACTCCATAGTCCTTTACAACTGACTCCATAGTCAATATATGTAAAATATACAAAAAAGCAAGTACATACTGTATAAAAAAATAATTATTACAATAACTTGCTATAATAATGATTATCTACTTAATAAAAAATAGATATAAATACAGTAGTCATCATGAATAAAGGTCACAATATCATGGCTGGAATTATTCTCAAACTAACCTAAGCTACAATACAAGTGCATCTGTATCTGTATTCCTCCATATGCATTAGATAAGGTTAGATTAGATGCTGATAAAGAATAAAAAGACACAATAACATGACTGGAACAATACACAAATAACCTGCACACAGAAAGAAACTTATAATGACATTTTGGATCATTAACTAGTGACTAGTTGATGATCCAGGTGCACCGAAATGTCATCATAAGTTTCTTTCTCCTATGTGCAGGTTATTTGTGTATAGATGCTGATACACAGAAGTATGGTGTACTCTGTCAAGGACAAAAAGTTATGGTGTATCAAGGTTGTCTTAGCTACGACAAGACTGACCTAATAATCACCTCTACAGTTATGGACCAGACCCAACAGGTCTTACCTGACTGACCAAGCAATGCACGCATTATCCACAGCACCATGTTAGTGACAAGGATAAGTTAGACTAAGTTTGGTTACTGATAAGGTTAGCTTAAATTTCATTATTGGTAAGATTAGGTTAATGTTGGTTAGTTAATTAAAGTAAATTGCAAAACAATTATCTAATTTGGTGGGCTTAGTTTGATAATTCATATTTAAATATGTAATAGTACCTACACATAAGTTCAACTGTGAAAACTTACTCTCGGTGAAATGTTACTGCATGATATATTGGAAGCAGAAAACTCGTGAGAAAATTAAAATATTTTCCCTTGCAGTCTTGATTTCCTCTACAGGTAAATTAATTCAGCAGAGAAAAAACATTCAGAGTATCTAAATTTTGGATTTAATATTTTTCTGAAGCACTAACCTGTAGTTTACTTAGCTTATGTCTATGTCTGGCACTGGTAACTGACAAATGCTGAACAAAGAGATTAACAATATTCTTACACTACCACTACTACTCAAGACATTAGATTCTGGTCCATTTCCAAGAAAGGAAGTACTGTGCTGTGACATATGTTGAAATAATTCAATGGTAAGACGTTATTTGCTTTTCTGTCAGCCAAAATTTTGACAAATAGCTGTACCTACATTTTTCACTATAAATACTTTTACTAAATATTGCTAATACAAATATACTTTATCAAATAAGAAAACATATAAAAAGATGATTTAAATTACCTAGATATGACATTAACATTAATATTGGAGTAATTATGAGGGAACATGCTCAAGAGTTAGCATCCACTTACTGAAACCTGGCGTAGCTGGGGCACGATGGTTGTTAAACTTGGCATCCACTGCCAACACCTGCTGCCACCAAGCCATCTTTGTGCAACCTGTCATGATAGTACCAACAGTGACTTAGCTTCTACTGACAAGCAACTAGCATTGCCTTACTTACCACCTCTGAGTGCTAACATTCAACCTATGATGGTACAAACATAAATTTAACATGCAGTGATGGCAACACTAACATCTAATTTAATTCTCTGATTGTTTAAAATCCTCATAACTTTATCTTCAAGGAAGTACAGCACAATGTACACACTTATGTAACATGATGAATATACCAACTTATGAGCATTTACGTATTTCTATACATAAGCAAATAATTCCACCGACCTTTAAGAGGCTGCACCTTACAGTATGCTACCTCAGAAATGTTGCACCTTACAGTATGCTGCATCAGAAAGGTTGCATCTTACAGTATGCTACCTCAGAGAGGTTGCAGCTTACAGTATGCTACCTGAGAGAGGTTGCACCACTTATCACTAGAGAGACTGCAGCTACAGTATATACCAGAGGTTGCACCTACAGTATGCTACCTCAAAGAGACTACAGCTTACAGTATGCTACCTCAGAGAGGTTGCACCCTACATTATGCTACCTCAGAGAGACTGCAGCTTACAGTATACTACCTCAGAGAGGTTGCACCCTACAGTATGCTACCTCAAAGAGACTACAGCTTACAGTATGCTACCTCAGAAAGGCTGCACCTTACAATATGCTACCTGAGAGAGGTTACAGCTTACAGTATGCTACCTCAGGAAGGTTGCAGCTTACAGTATGCTAGATGCCTACCTCTCACTGACCTACACCTAACTCACCATCTCTACAAACCATCACCAAGAATATACAGCACTTTATTTCTCTTAATTTAATTTTTATCTCCACACAGCTTGTGTGAGTGTGTTAGATGGCAGTGAATAGTGACAAGTGGTTTTTAATAGACATGCTGCTGGAGTGTGAGCATGGTAACATTTATGAAGGGATTCCAAGGTTCTGTGCTGCTGGAGTGTGAGCATGGTAACATTTATGAAGGGATTCAAAGGTTCTGTGCTGCTGGAGTGTGAGCACAGTAACATTTATGATGGGATTCCAAGGTTCTGTGCTGCTGAAGTGTGAGCAAGATAACATTTATTAAGGGATTCAAGGGTTACTGTGTTGTTGGAGTGTGAGCAAGGTAACATTTATGAAGGGATTCAAGGATTACTGTGCTGCTGGAGTGTAAGCAAGGTAACATTTATGAAGGGATTCAAGGAAACTGGTTAGCCAGATGTCTCAAGGAGAGGTGAGGAGGATGTTGCACTCAGAGAATAATCTCAACTGTGATGTCAGCACATTTCTGACAAGACAGCAATAGAGTGAATGATGGCAAATGTGATTCCTTCATTGGGTAACCCTGCCTTGGCAGATGACTGAGGTAATTAAAAAAAAATCTGCTTTCCAAACTATCTACTGTATTTAAACAGCTCATTTCAACTTCTCGAATTATAGAATTGTTTCCTTTCCACAAATCAATAATAATAATAATAATAAATTACTATTATTGTTATTACATACAATTAAAAATTATATTTTTATTGTTATTGTTATTAGCTTATTATTGTTATTACAGCCTCTTCTCACTTAACGACGGGGTTCCATTCCTAAGATTAGGTTAGTAAGCGAATCAATTGTTAAGCGACGAACATACTATGTGTACTGGTAGTGGGTTTGTGTCAACCATCTTAAGATATTTTTTTTAATGTCACCTTTGCACCCTTTATAACATTTCTGGTATATTTTTAAATGTTTATACAGTAGTTTACTGTATACATGTACTGTAATGAACAGAATAGAGGAAATCAGCTCTCATATACATTATTTAGGTTGGGATACTGGTTGGAGAGCTGGTCGTAAGTCTGAGTGGTTGGTGAATGAGTACGTCGCTAAGTGAGGAGAAGCTGTATTATTATTATCATGTTGTTATTATTACTTTAAGGGTCATTGGCAGTTTGTATCACATAAGTCAAACCTCCTGGTGCTTGAGTAATAAAACTGCCAAATTAATGTGGGAAAAATAAAACAGGACAATTGTCCATAAATATGATGGGAATGAGCAGTCTCAGTTAGATTAGGTAAACCCTTACCTAAGCCCTGACAGTTAGGTGCCCACAACTTGTCTGGGACAGCATTATCTCATAAATTATCGTGTCAAATGGTTATAATCATAGCCATAATTTTTAAATGGGTGGAGTGGTAAGCCAGTGGAAGGCCTCGGTCAGATGACCAAAAGTTCCAGTGGTGGGTTGTCTTATGCCTAAGACCTGCATCAGGAAACACTTGTCCTGTTTCCTGACAAACCTTACCTAACCTAACCTACCAACTGGTTTATCTTCCCACAACCATACAAATAACTGATGCCCCCAGCAGGCAAGACAGAATGAGCAGACTCATACCCCACACACATACACAAAAAAAAAAGAAAGAAAAAAATTAGGAAAAATTATCACCATGATTTACTGGCAATTTCCTGAATACAGTATATGTATTATACATATGTATGAAGGAAGTTAAAATACCTTACACCCTTTATATTTAATGACTTTTCTTAGTATATTTGTTACAATCATGGGTTTCATTGGGGGCAATTTGCACATGATATCATTTCTCCTGTTAGTTAATTTATTTAGATACAGGTACACATAAGTACAATTATCATACATAACTTAACATTTGTGTAAATTATCCTCCATGTTATCCCATAACCCAATGAGGTCCTTTGTCTGGTAACAGACTGTGTGAATATTTGTAATTAATCAGTGCAGTATTTTTCAAGTATAAATTATGAGACAGATCATCACTCATTCTTACCTGCACTCCCAGGGGGGGTACAATCATATGGATTTTAATCAATTTCAACACTTTAAGTGTTTGACTAGCTTTACTATGTATACAGACAGATTATAGTAGTGAACATAAACACTACTATAAAGTAAAGAATTAAGAGACATGATTACGTGTACTAACAGAAGGGAGGAACATATTAATTAATGAAATATAAATAAAGTGCTGAAAATCTAACATAGACAATTTGCAACAACAGACCAAAGTTATAAAAAACAACAGATTTTGAAATGATATAGGTAAAATGGTTGTCAATAGAGTGAACAAACTGCCAAGTAGTGTCAGTGAAGTGAGTACATTTTATGGCTTTAGAAATAATTTAGAAAGATATACAAATGATAATGGTTGGGTGAGAGTAGGCCTACCTTGCATGTGCCAGCAAGAATACAGTGATTTTTTATTTCTTCTTGTTAGCATTCCAGTTAACCCAGTACTCCATATAAGTAACTAATGTTTATATCATTACAAATATTGAGCATAAAATATACAGAACTGAGACATGCAGGCACCAAAAGCCTGATTAATCAAGCCAGCATGCAATAGGCCTAGTCTGGGAGCAAGCAACAAGGGCAATGACTCCCAGAAGCAACTACAGACAGGTATGTCATGACAACTTAACCTTGGCTATTATACAATTTCTGAAAATCGAGAATATTCACAGGGAAGGTTTAAACTTAGGGGGCTCATACAGTGCCTGGAGAGTGGAAGATAATCATGTTTCATCCAAGGATGGGGAGGGCAGCTCAAATTCCTTGGATCAAAGCACCCCTTTGAAAATTTATAAGGATTTATTATTTTCATAGGTGATAAAAGGAAGGGCAGTGTCACATTACCTCTTCTTCGTGGCTGGCGACTGTAACAAGCACTGTAAGACATTAAGCATAACCTGACACTACAGTTACAGTAAGTTATAACAGCTACTGAGACTACAGCTACAGTAAGTTATAACTCAGTTACTGAGACTACAGTTACAGTAAGTTATAACAGCTACTGAGACTACAGCTACAGTAAGTTATAACTCAGTTACTGAGACTACAGTTACAGTAAGTTATAACTCAGTTACTGAGACTACAGTTACAGTAAGTTATAACTCAGTTACTGAGACTTACAGTTACAGTAAGTTATAACTCAGTTACTGAGACTACAGTTACAGTAAGTTATAACTCAGTTACTGAGACTACAGTTACAGTAAGTTATAACTCAGTTACTGAGACTACAGTTACAGTAAGTTATAACTCAGTTACTGAGACTACAGTTACAGTAAGTTATAACAGCTACTGAGACTACAGCTACAGTAAGTTATAACTCAGTTACTGAGACTACAGTTACAGTAAGTTATAACTCAGTTACTGAGACTACAGTTACAGTAAGTTATAACAGCTACTGAGACTACAGCTACAGTAAGTTATAACTCAGTTACTGAGACTACAGTTACAGTAAGTTATAACTCAGTTTACGAGACTACAGTTACAGTAAGTTATAACTCAGTTACTGAGACTACAGTTACAGTAAGTTTATAACTCAGTTACTGAGACTACAGTTACAGTAAGTTATACTCAGTTACTGAGACTACAGCTACAGTAAGTTATAACTCAGTTACTGAGACTACAGTTACAGTAAGTTATAACTCAGTTACTGAGACTACAGTTACAGTAAGTTATAACTCAGTTACTGAGACTACAGCTACAGTAAGTTATAACTCAGTTACTGAGACTACAGTTACAGTAAGTTATAACTCGGTTACTGAGACTACAGTTACAGTAAGTTATAACTCAGTTACTGAGACTACAGCTACAGTAAGTTATAACTCGGTTACTGAGACTACAGTTACAGTAAGTTATAACTCAGTTACTGAGACTACAGCTACAGTAAGTTATAACAGTTACTGAGACTACAGTTACAGCAAGTTATAACTTTGTTACTGAGACTACAGTTACAATAAGTTATAACAGTTACTGAGACTACAGTCACAGCAAGTTATAACTCACGTACTGAGGTTACAGTTATAGCAAGTTATAATGCACTGAGGTTACAGTTACAGTGGGCTATAACTCACTGAGGCTACAGTTACAGTAAGTTATAATTCACTGAGGCTACAGTTACAATAAGTTATAACTCACTGAGGCTACAGTTACAATAAGGTATAATTCACTGAGGTTACAGTTACAGTAAGTTATAACTCACTTACTGAGGCTACAGTTACAGTAAGTTATAACTCAATGAGGCTACAGTTACAGTAAATTATAACTCATTTACTGAGGCAACAGTTAGTTATAACTCACTGAGGTTACAGTTAAGTTATAACTCACTGAAATTACAGTTACAGTTAAGTTATAACTCACTGAGGCTACAGTTAGTTAAATTATAACTCACTGAGGCTACAGTTACAGTTAAATTATAACTCACTGAGGCTACAGTTACAGTTAAATTATAACTCACTGAGGCTACAGTTAGTTAAATTATAACTCACTGAGGCTACAGTTAGTTAAATTATAACTCACTGAGGCTACAGTTACAGTTAAATTATAACTCACTGAGGCTACAGTTACAGTTAAATTATAACTCACTGAGGCTATAGTTACAGTTAAATTATAACTCACTGAAGCTACAGTTACAGTTAAATTATAACTCACTGAGGCTATAGTTACAGTTAAATTATAACTCACTGAGGCTATAGTTACAGTTAAATTATAACTCACTGAGGCTACAGTTACAGTTAAATTATAACTCACTGAGGCTACAGTTACAGTTAAATTATAACTCACTGAGGCTACAGTTACAGTTAAATTATAACTCACTGAGGCTACAGTTACAGTTAAATTATAACTCACTGAGGCTACAGTTACAGTTAAATTATAACTCACTGAGGCTACAGTTAGTTAAATATAAACTCACTGAGGCTACAGTTACAGTTAAATTATAACTCACTGAGGCTATAGTTACAGTTAAATTATAACTCACTGAGGCTATAGTTACAGTTAAATTATAACTCACTGAGGCTACAGTTAGTTAAATTATAACTCACTGAGGCTACAGTTAGTTAAATTATAACTCACTGAGGCTACAGTTAGTTAAATTATAACTCACTGAGGCTATAGTTACAGTTAAATTATAACTCACTGAGGCTATAGTTACAGTTAAATTATAACTCACTGAGGCTATAGTTACAGTTAAATTATAACTCACTGAGGCTACAGTTAGTTAAATTATAACTCACTGAGGCTACAGTTAGTTAAATTATAACTCACTGAGGCTACAGTTAGTTAAATTATAACTCACTGAGGCTATAGTTACAGTTAAATTATAACTCACTGAGGCTACAGTTACAGTTAAATTATAACTCACTGAGGCTACAGTTACAGTTAAATTATAACTCACTGAGGCTACAGTTAGTTAAATTATAACTCACTGAGGCTACAGTTACAGTTAAATTATAACTCACTGAGGCTACAGTTACAGTTAAATTATAACTCACTGAGGCTACAGTTAGGTAAATTATAACTCACTGATGCTACAGTTAGTTAAATTATAACTCACTGAGGCTAGTTACAGTTAAATTATAACTCAGTGAGGCTACAGTTACAGTTAAGTTATAACTCACTGAGACTACAGGTTGTAACTCTCAGCTCCTCCTCCAGAAGTTATACTGTATCATGTTAGTGAGGTCTTAATCTTATATTGTCTTGCCTTAAATTCGTCATAAATTTCTCCTTCAGCCTCAACCATTACATTTTTTTCCGTCTTCCTGGTGTTTGAGTTTATAGGGCCACTGACACCTTGCACCGTATTGAACCCGGCTATCTACGCTACCCATATTATTATATTACACATAACTAAGCGCTAAACCCACAAGAGATGGTGGGTTTAGCTACAGGTACACATAAGTACAATTATCATACATAGATTAACATATGTGTAAATTACCCTCAAGGATAGCCCCCAAAAAATCAGACCAAGTGTCTTATTTCATTAGATCCTATGTATTACTCCTTATATTTAAATTATTAGTAATAAAACACAATAAACCACAGGGTCAATATTATTTAAAGCTTAGCTGAAGTTACAGCAGGACTAGTTATGATGTACTTGAAATTAAACAGCAATAACTCAATTGTGTGAAATTCATTAACAAAAAGGATGTCAATAGGAAAAGGAACGAGTTATTACATGAACATTAAAGAGAGACTCAGCTTACAATAACAGGCGCACCAATGTTAACTATACATATTATCACACTCCTCCCTTTCTGTAGCTTCATTCATTAGGTACCTTTTATATCTCTGAACTGGCTCATGTTAGGACAACCTTTGTCATGTTCAAGCAATCCCTTCCACTCTTATATTGTTGTATAATAAAAACGTTTGAGGTCTGACCACCTACTGTAGGTACTACATAGTAGTGTTTACTTCCCCTAGTACCATACTGGTACTACAGAGTAGTGTTTCACTTCCCCTAGTACCATACTGGTACTACATAGTGTTCACTTCCTCTAGTACCATACTGGTACTAAGTAGTGTTCACTTCCCCTAGTACCATACTGGTACTACAGAGTAGTGTTCACTTCCCCTAGTACCATACTGGTACTACAGAGTAGTGTTCACTTCCCCTAGTACCATACTGGTACTACATAGTGTTCACTTCCTCTAGTACCATACTGGTACTAAGTAGTGTTCATTTCCCCTAGTACCATACTGGTACTACATAGTGTTCACTTCCTCTAGTACCATACTGGTACTAAGTAGTGTTCACTTCCCCTAGTACCATACTGGTACTACAGAGTAGTGTTCACTTCCCCTAGTACCATACTGGTACAACATAGTAGTGTTCACTTCCCCTAGTTCCATACTGGTACTACATAGTAGTGTTCACTTCCCCTAGTACCATACTGGTACTACATTGTGTTCATTTCCTCTAGTACCATACTGGTACTACATATTAGTGTTCACTTCCCCTAGTACCATACTGGTACTAAGTAGTGTTCACTTCCCCTAGTACCATACTGGTACTAAGTAGTGTTCACTTCCCCTAGTACCATACTGGAACTACATAGTGTTCACTTCCCCTAGTACCATACTGGTACTACATAGTGTTCACTTCCTCTAGTACCATACTGGTACTACAGAGTAGTGTTCACTTCCCTGAGTACCATACTGGTACTACATAGTGTTCACTTCCCCTAGTACCATACTAGTACTACATAGTAGTGTTCACTTCCCTGAGTACCATACTGGTACTACATAGTAGTATTCACTTCCTCTAGTACCATACTAGTACTACATAGTAGTGTTCACTTCCCTGAGTACCGTACTGGTACTACATAGTAGTGTTCACTTCCCCTAGTACCATACTGGTACTAAGTAGCATTCACTTCCTCTAGTACCATACTGGTACTACATAGTGTTCACTTCCCCTAGTACCATACTGGTACTAAGTAGCATTCACTTCCTCTAGTACCATACTGGTACTACATAGTAGTGCTCACTTCCCCTAGTACCATACTGGTACTACAGAGTAGTATTCACTTCCTCTAGTACCATACTGGTACTACAGAGTAGTGTTCACTTCCCCTAGTACCATAATGGTACTAAGTAGTGTTCACTTCCTCTAGTACCATACTGGTACTAAGTAGTATTCACTTCCTCTAGTACCATACTGGTACTAAGTAGTGTTCACTTCCTCTAGTACCATACTGGTACTAAGTAGTGTTCACTTCCTCTAGTACCATACTGGTACTAAGTAGTGTTCACTTCCTCTAGTACCATACTGGTACTAAGTAGTGTTCACTTCCTCTAGTACCATACTGGTACTAAGTAGTGTTCACTTCCTCTAGTACCATACTGGTACTAAGTAGTGTTCACTTCCTCTAGTACCATACTGGTGCTACATAGTAGTGTTCACTTCCCTTAGTACAATACCGGTTTTGGTTCCTAACCATGACAAACTTGGCAGCAAGATATTCTGGGCACTGCTTGTGAACAATTTTATTGTTATTATAATAAAAACAAAGTGCTGAACCACCACTGTCATACAACAATTTTATAAACGTGATTTAACTACAGTTGTTTTACTGTCTTCAATACTCAACATATACAGTTGGATCAAGCTTCATCCAAATCTGGTGTATGGTAAGGGGTATTATATAATTATTATTTATTATATGTAGGGGGAAGCACTAAATACGTAGGGGTTATACAATCCCTGGGAGAACGGGAGGCAAATAGGTTCAACTGAAGGACCACAGTGGAAATAAGTCACTTCTGGCTTTTTTTGGGGTTATCCTGGAGGGTTATTTACACATTTTAGTGTATGATAACTAATGATGTAGATCTGTACCTAAATAACCTTACTAAGGCAGGGAGCAGGTATAATTCTATTGGTCAAAAGTCCCTCACTGACACCAAGGAACCTTCCTTCATGAACAAGATACAAGTGCAACACTAATGTATCTGTGTGTACCTTGATGAATGTGATACATGTACAACACTTATGTATCTTTGTGTCTTCCTTGCTGAATAAGACACATGAATGATGAATGAGATCTTTTGTCTCTCTTGATGAATAAGATACTTGTGCAGCACTAATGTATCTTTATTGTGAAGACATTTCACACACTGTTGCTTTATCAGTCCAATACACAGAGTACCACTGTAGATGGTAGAAGACAAAGTAGTAGTTTGAGGGAATCATTCCTTCAGCCTGGTTAATTGTTAGCTCAATATCTTTATTATGCACTCCATACTCATGGTGTGGGTGGTAGACATCACATACCCATGGTGTGGGTGGTAGTCACCCCATACCCATGGTGTGGGTGGTAGTCACCCCATACCCATGGTGTGCATGGTAGTCACCCCATACCCATGGTGTGGGTGGTAGTCACCCCATACCCATGGTGTGGGTGGTAGTCACCCCATACCCATGGTGTGCATGGTAGTCACCCCATACTCATGGTGTGGGTGGTAGTCACCCCATACCCATGGTGTGGGTGGTAGTCACCCCATACCCATGGTGTGGGTGGTAGTCACCCCATACCCATGGTGTGCATGGTAGTCACCCCATACTCATGGTGTGGGTGGTAGTCACCCCATACCCATGGTGTGGGTGGTAGTCACCCCATACCCATGGTGTGGGTGGTAGTCACCCCATGCCCATGGTGTGGGTGGTAGTCACCCCATACCCATGGTGTGGGTGGTAGTCACCCCATACCCATGGTGTGGGTGGTAGACACCACATACCCACAGTGTGGGTGGTAGACACCACATACCCACAGTGTGGGTGGTAGACACCACATACCCACAGTGTGGGTGGTAGACACCACATACCCACAGTGTGGGTGGTAGACACCACATACCCACAGTGCAGGTGGTAGACACCACATACCCACAGTGCAGGTGGTAGACACCACATACCCACAGTGCAGGTGGTAGACACCACATACCCACAGTGCAGGTGGTAGACACCACATACCCACAGTGCAGGTGGTAGACACCACATACCCACAGTGTGGGTGGTAGACACCACATACCCACAGTGCAGGTGGTAGACACCACATACCCACAGTGCAGGTGGTAGACACCACATACCCACAGTGCAGGTGGTAGACACCACATACCCACAGTGCAGGTGGTAGACACCACATACCCACAGTGCAGGTGGTAGACACCACATACCCACAGTGCAGGTGGTAGACACCACATACCCACAGTGCAGGTGGTAGACACCACATACCCACAGTGTGGGTGGTAGACACCACATACCCACAGTGTGGGTGGTAGACACCACATACCCACAGTGCAGGTGGTAGACACCACATACCCACAGTGCAGGTGGTAGACACCACATACCCACAGTGCAGGTGGTAGACACCAACATACCCACAGTGCAGTGTGGTAGACACCACATACCCACAGTGTGGGTGGTAGACACCACATACCCACAGTGTGGGTGGTAGACAGCCCATCCATCAGTTAGCTCACTAAAGAGATAATAGTCAGCAGTCAAGTTCCCTTCAACTTTATCATATAATCACAATAATATAATAATAATAATAATATCTTTATTTACTACAAGTACATGTACAAGGTATACAGTCCTAGCTGACAACAATGACATACTACTATATAGAAAGCCGCTTGTTATGCACCACATGTCGGGCAAATTAGGTCAGTGTCCCAGGATGCGACCCACACCAGTCGACTAACACCCAGGTACCCATTTTACTGATGGGGAACATAGACAACAGGTGGAAAGAAACACGCCCAATGTTTTTACTCTGGCTGGGAATCGAACCCAGGCCCTCGCCGTGTGAAGCGAGAGCTTTAGCCGCCAGGCCACCAGAGTTTGGTGAATATCATTGAACACAAGCAAATATTATTATTATAATCATAACTAAGTGCTAAACCCACAAGGGTCATACAGCACTGAAGCAAACACTTAAGACTTTTATAAAACAAATATCATTCATATACATAGTACATAGAGTATTACAGTTTCTTAAGACTCATATACTGATAAGCTTAAAACAGGAGTTCAAAATACTGTAAACAAAATTGTCAAATTACTGTATTACATTCATCGGGAGGAGTGCTAAACCTGTGGGGGTCATACAGTGCCTGGGGAGCATGGGAGGCAATCACATTTGATCCAAGGAATAGGTCAAGGCAATTCCCTGGATCAAAAGTCTGTCAGCAGCATGAAGGAACCTTCCATGATGGGTCTGTAATACAAGAAAATGTCTTCATATTGAAGACCAGCAGTGAGGATAACAAAGTCATAGGAGGTTCAGTATTCTTCCAATATATTTTCACAAAGAACTACTTATATAATCCCAGAATTAAGGGTGAAAGTACATTTATATGTATGAAAAGTTTTTCCGTTGATAAATACAAATTATGTAAAAAAGTATAGATACATTATTACTAAACTATTAATTTAAAACCTGTCTGAGGAATTGAATAAAGACACTAATCAGCATTAATAAATGCAATGATACTTTTATGTCATCCAGTGAAAATATTTACTTATTTGCATAAAAATAAAATAAAATGTAAATAGTTAAATGATGCAAAGAAACAATGTTAAGTTTTGAAACTCCGTGGCTCAGAGGCAGCTTTCAACTCCACTTCTTTGAGCGTCAAACAAAACTTGAATGTTCATTGAACTACTGCAGTACATATGTTTATATACATGTATATATACAGTGGAACCTCAAAAATCGAACGTATCACATATGGAACGTTTCGAAAATAGGACCATTTTTTCGGACAAACTGTGTCCCTATTATCGAACGCGCCCCTATTTTCGGACCGCCGGGTACGGGACCTGTCTGCCGCCCGCTCTGTCCGCGTCCCCGCACAGGCGCCATGAGCAGTCTAGCTTTGTTTATGTTTGAGTGAACACTAACCTGCTCTCTCATTCACGCATTTTACGATTATTTCGTTGTGTTTAGTGCTTGTGGCACTGTGAAATAAGCTGCCATGGGCCCAAAGAAACTTGCTAGTGGTACCCCTGTGGTAAAGAAAGTGAGAAACACCATAGATGTGAAGAAGGAAATAATACAGAAGTATGAGAGTGGTGTGAGACTTGTTGAGCTTGTCATGATGTATGGGAAAAACAAGTCGACCATTGGTTCTATCCTGTTAAAGAAAGAACAAATCAAGGAAGCTGATGTTGCGAAAGGTGTTAATATAGGGAGTGGATGAGGTGCCTTCTTCAAAGATTAAGGAGATTTGTGCCAAGTGGAATGATGTCCAAATGTTTGTGCAGAAGTACCACCCTGAGCAAGCTGAAACAAGCCATCTTTACAACAAGTTCAGTGACAGAACCATGTCCCATTTTAGGGAAATGTTAAAGAGGCGCCAGAAACAGAGGACTGTGGACAGTTATTTTGTGAGACAGGGGTCCAGTGACTCTCAAGCTGGTCCTAGTGGCATAAAAAGACAGAGAAGGGAAGTAACCCCAGAGAGGGATTTACCTGAAGTCCTCATGGAGGGGGATTCTCCTTCCAAACACTAACCCCAACTCCCTCCCTCCTCCTCCCTATCTTCCAGATGCCATCACCAATCTTCAATAAAGGTAAGTAAAAATGTTATTTTATATGTATTACTATACATAATTAAAAACTATAATATTTGTTGTATGTAAAACTGTAATTAATCTCTATAAAATGTATTTTTTGTGTGAATATTTTTGGGTTTCTGGAACGGATTAATTGTATTTCCATTATTTCTTATGGGAAATATTGCTTCGAATTTCAGACTTTTCAAATTTAGAACTAGCTCCTGGAACGGATTAAGTTCGATTTTTGAGGATCCACTGTACTGTATATAAAAACTGAGACTGGGAGGATCACCGTGAGCTCTGCGACAACCTTTTAAAATTGTTGACTCTCAGCAAAAATAAGGAATGAATATACTGTACAGCATTTATATTTAATATTACAGTACTATACAAAAAATGATTTTGAATAAAAGTTACAATACCATGGCTGGAGCAAATCACAAATAACCAACAATTTGGAGAGGAAACTTTACACATACAGGAGGACCCAGCATATACAGCACCTCTTTTTGGTGTTTCATGTTTTCACTGGCTTTCAATTGAGCCATTGTTTATTATGCTCAGTGCTTTTACCAATGTTTTCATACAACACTTCCTTAAGGGAAGGGCAACTGGCACCATATTTTAAGGTAAATACTGTATTTACTGAGTAATTTACTTTGTTTTTTTATGCCTAGCTGTATTAAGCACTTAATACGTATATGATAAGTGTAAACATGCTATCAGGCATTTTAGACACATTCAATGATGAAAAATGCTTTCCACCCGCTGGCAATTTTCGCTTCCTATATGGGGTCAGGAACCTAAGAGCCACACAAACGGGGCCCTCCTCTATTTTGGACCACCCTTTACCATTATCAGTTTATGACTTGATTAATAATGTTCCAGGACAAACATGAACATTGTCTAAATTGTAGGCTTTTGTGAAAAAGTCATATTGATCACAGACATATCAGTACTTAGTTATAAAATCAAAGTTGTTCATCTTCCGATGAAAGAGTTAGATGGTATTGCTCTGTCTCCTCATTAGAATCTTCAGTAGAATCAAGTGGGTAAAATTCTGCAGCATCTGCTGAGAGAGAGAGTTGGTCTATCTGATAAACTGAAGCTTCCAGATCTGTGGTGGCTTCAACTGTGCCAGAGATACTGGAGTCATCAATCTCATTTGGTTCACTGTCTGTTAGAGGTGATATAGAGGAGTGGAGATGATGATGATGATGATGAGAAGAATTGTTTTGATGACTGGGCTGGTGTAAATGATGCGAGTGCACGGTGTTTGCCAAAATGCTGTGATCATTGGCTGTGCTTAAATTGTGAGTGAGATGCTGTGGGATGTGAAGCTGGTGATGGTGAAAATGATGATGGTGCTGTGGAAGATGGTGATAATGGTGGTGATGAGAATCTATACTCAAGGAGTGCAAGTGTGTCGGTTCGGTGGTATCGGGAGATCCACTACTACTGCTTGCTGCACTCGGAGTATGTGGAGTCTGTGGAGTGTTACTAGGGGCAGTGGGTGTACGGGGACAGAGATCATTGTTATTAGCAGCAGAGCCAATATTATCTCCTAAATCACTAGGTATACCAGTATCTCCAGGATTAGCTATATGTATAGCATGTGCAGCCGACTGAAGGGCCGACAATTCGGCTTCTAACTGGCTTGGAAGTTTAATGCCAGCAACACCCTTTTTAGGAATGGAACTGAGATCTCTCTTAATACGTCGTCGCCTGCTAGGGTCATTGCGTCTCAGCTGCACCATTCGATCAAAGTCAATGATATAGAGAAATCCTGCAACTAGAACTTCACAAGCCCGTTGACCAGTCCCATAAGCAGCCTCTAATTCATAACTGGTACGTTCATCGTACTGCCACCAGCCTGAAAAATAAACCCAAGGTTAAAAATGAAGTTATCACATTAGCAGTGAACATGATATACATATGATACAGGTACTCTATCTGATTAACTCAGTCAGCAAAATCACTTTAAAAATTAATAATCGCAAGTACTTTTATTTATTTCATCTTCCAGGGAGTACTGTTATGCTAGACACTAGTTTGTCTGCCTACAACAAAACTACTTATTACATTATTAAAGTATATTCACAAAAAAAATGCTGATACTGTATCTGTAGCAAGTTACTGTTAATCAAAGACTTTGAGTGCTGTTAAAATATTATCTGGTATGCTCATAACAAATGGGTCAAAATAAAGAATTTTTTTTTTCACCTCCAATTTTGTATTACATAATGACCGAATATGGATTTATATTTTTTCTTGGTTATTTTTTGATCACATTAATTTTTTTTTATATGACCATTTAGTACATGCTTAGTAAGTTCATATGGAATTTGCAATGTGTCAGAAAGAATCCCTGTGTTTCACATATTATACTGAGATCACTTTATGTGCCATGAGCCAGGAATGCATCTCTCACATGTAGCATGTGAAGGGTGTTCATGACTACAATCATTATGATTTATGTTACACTAATAGGAAACTAGTAAACTCATAGGAGTCATATGGAGCTTGGGGAATTGGAAAGTACTCTAGTTTGACCCAAAGAAGAGGAAGGTAGCTTTAATTCCTCATACAAGAGCTCTTTAAGAGTATCAAAGTGCCTCTCTTAAAAGACAAAACACATCTTGTAATTATCTTTTCTACTCATGACAGTGGCAACATAATGGATGCAATTATATATGATTTTTCTAAAAAAAAAAAAAAAAAAAAAAAAAAAAAAAAAAAAAAAAAAAAAAAAAAAAAAAAAAAAAAAAAAAAAAAAAAAAAATTGTAGCTGCTAGTTTCTTGAAGATTAGTTAAAAATTTGTTATTGTATTATATTCACAGAAATAACCTGCACATAGGATAGGAGGAGGAGTTTACAATGACGATGTTTCAGTTTGACGTGGACCATTTACATAGTCCAAGTCGGACTGAAACATCATTATAAGCTGCTCCTTTCTCCTATGTGTGGATTATTTGTGTATTGTTCTGGTCATGGTATTGTGCCTTTTTGTTCTTTATATTCACAGGGAAGTGCTACACCTGCAGGGATTATACATCACCTAAAGAATATGATTCACCTTCTACCAGTCTATCAATTCTTTTGTGTACATCAAGTTTGGCATGGTTTGCACATCTCATTGTCTGAAAACAGTGGCTGGGGCTTGAAATCTTTTGATTTGTAGTTATCGAGGTTTTAAACACTTCTTTTTTAAATCTCTTGGATAATATTGACATGTCTGATATAGGTGTGTAGTTGTGTTAATGGTTGTGTGTATCACTATGCCCACACAACACACTCAAACCAGGTCTCATATATATTACTAAACAAATATTACAGGAATAAGAGCTTTTAAGAATCACACAAAAAGTAAGCAAAAGTGTTGAACAAAAGATACGTGCAGAACAAGCTGTATTGTGACAATATTTCATTCTGTGAAGAACTTAATAAGGTCATGAGAAATGTCACACTACATGCATACTCTGCACCACTTTCTTTTCTTTGTTACCTGTCACCAGTAAGCCTTTGTATACAAAATGCAGAAGTTTGTAAGATTTGTCTCGTCTTACTTTTTCAAAAGACAGAAAGATGAACAAACCTGGCCGAGTGCAAGATACTTAAGAGTTTCCCGTGTCACACTTGTACAAAAGGATAGTGGTAATGTACTACTTCACTGGCTGGCCACTATATACCAACCTACTACTGGCTGGCCACTATATACCAACCTACTACTGGCTGGCCACTATATACCAACCTACTACTGGCTGGCCACTATATATCACCCTACTACTGGTTGGCCACTGTATACCAACCTACTACTGGCTGGCCACTATATACCAACCTACTACTGGCTGGCCACTATATACCAACCTACTACTGGCTGGCCACTGTATACCATCCTACTACTAGTAATGTACTACCTCACTGGCTGGCCACTATATATCAACCTACTACTAGTAATGTACTACCTCACTGGCTGGCCACTATATATCAACCTACTACTAGTAATGTACTACCTCACTGGCTGGCCACTATATACCAACCTACTACTGACTGGCCACTATACATCAATCTACTACTGGCTGGCCACTATATACCAACCTACTACTGGCTGGCCACTATATACCAACCTACTACTGACTGGCCACTGTATACCAACCTACTACTAGTAATGTACTACCTCACTGGCTGGCCACTATATACCAACCTACTACTGGTTGGCCACTATACATCAATCTACTACTGGCTGGCCAGTGTGTACCAACCAACTACTGGCTGGCCACTGTATTCCAACCTACTACTGGCTGGTCACTGTATACAAACCTGCTACTTGTGTTTTGATAATACTCTCTCAGAATTTTCTCAATACCATAAGAAACAAATAAAACACCCATTAACATTGCCAAGTTCAAGATTTTATTTACATATCCACTACTGTCAATATAAAATAACTTTTAATACATTAGATGGAAATATTTCTGATTAGAAATAAACTTGTGATTTATGTAAGGCACAAAGCAATGTTCCTCAGACAGGTAAATATCACCCCAGGTATTAATGTATCCTAACTACGACCACAGTTTATTTTCCATATAAGTGAAATATTGTATGCATAATTTCATAAGAATATTTCATTACAGATAATATGCACATAACCATGATGGGAATGGCCAATGAAATAACATATCAAAAATAACTGAATGTATTATTCCATTATGAATGAGGTCATGTTGCTTTAATATAACTGAAGTATTAATGTGCAATACAAATGTTTCCTCATGGAATATACAATATGCAAATAAAAACTAGATAACAAAATACTTTTGAAAAATTCTGTTAAGTGGATAAACAGAGAGGAGGAAGACGGGGGCTGCTGCATGGTCTGCCTCACTACATAAACATAGTTACAATAGAATGAAAGTAGCAGTACCATGCATGGCTAGAACAACTAACACACTTTGCAGAAGAAACTTCACATAACATTTTGCTCCATTATAGACTAAAATATTATCAAAAATTTCTTTTCCAAATTGTGTGTTAGTTGTAAATATTGTAGTTATAAATTAATTGTAAACTTGAGGTTCATAAAATTAAACTGGAAAACATTTAAATGATCTACTGTCAATTCAAGCTGCAAATGTGATGAAAGATTTTCCATTAAAATGTACACAAGCTGCAAGAATTAGATAACTTTGCTAAACCTGGGTATCTTTATTTTGAAGACACTTCATCAACCAGTGGCTTTTTTAATTCAATACAGAGACCATATATGAAAAACAGTAAAAGATGAGGTAGTCAGTCATCCACCCTTGCAAAATTACACAAAGAAAAAAAAGTCTCTTGCACCCAAGGGACTGATTACCTCATCTTCTACTGTCTTCCATATATATTCCCTGTATTGAACTGAAAAAGCCAAGTTTTGCAGGTATCTAATGAATCAACTTGTTTATAGTGTACACTACAAATGTCATGTACAGCAGGCATTTCTTTAACACGAAAAACAGCAAACATGAACAATACTCATTAGGTTTCAGTTATTGTATTTTTAATGACTAGCTAAGAGTATTTATTTTTAACAATTAGCTGTATAGCCCTTTGTGGCTTAGTGTTTCTTTTTGATTATAATAATAATAATTTAACAAAGAGCAACCAAAATACAAGTTACATAGAACTTCATCATTACGCCTTACCAAAATGGTGAAGGAAGCCTCCATATATAGTTCTAAAAACCGGTAATATAAGGCTCACAAGGCTAGGAGAGAGTGAATCTGGCAAGCGGCAAGTTCAGAGGCAGGGACAGAAGTTAAGACTCAACCCTTGCAACCACTTACAGATGAGTACACCTCTTCATCTAACCTGTCCCATTTTCTCTCATAGTTTTGTCCAGTTGTTATGGACAAAATGCTGTAAATACAACCTTCACTGCCAACAAAATGTCTCTCTCTCCACATACGTGTCACTTGATATTGTCAATGATGGACTGAAAATGTTATCTTAAGTTTCCCCTCCATATTATGGGTTAATACGGAAAAATAATATACCTATAGATTACAAATATCTAAATATAACCCTGTTTGATGCATAATAACTTATTTCACTGAGAATAAACACACACAATACCGTTACTAGAACAGTACACAAATAACCCGCACATAGGAAAAAAAACTCGTGATGATATTTTTGTCTAACTTGAGTTGAAACGTGTGACTAGTTAATGGTCCAAGTCGGACCGAAATGTCGTCAGAAGTTTCTTTCTCATAGTGTGGATTATTTGTGTCTTATGCCATAGGCGTGTCAGGAAAATCAATACAATACAATAGATACCTGGCAACAAATTACAACATCTAAGTACATATTTGTTTTCTTTTACAAAATTATTTTTGAAGTCTTCCTTATGGGAATGTTGAACAATGTAAGAAAATACCTGAAAGTACTCAGAGATGAAATAAATCATAAGTTTTTGGGTTAGCTACTTTACTCCATTAACCAAATTTAAACTATAGAAATGTTTTTATGATAAAAACTGCATTATAAATTAAAGTTATATGAACCATTTTTTGTGTTAATCAGGATGACAGATTTTGAAATACAATATATTTTCCTGCATATACCAAGTCTCACGTACTATGAAGCATCTGAAGTACATAAGTGAGAAAAATTCAACAAGCAAGGGGAGAAAAATACAGTTAAATTAGCTCTTCCATGCATACATAGTGTATTACAAACACAGTTTTTAAAGGCATATATAAACTTTTCAAGACATTTAATGAGGAAATGTTGCATTACAAGCAGCTTCTTTAGTCCCAGTCCTTGAAGCCACTCGACTTGTGCTAAAATGTTTTCGAGATAAATGTCTTGAAAAGTGCCTGTACATT